GGTGGTGGTGCCGTTACGGCTGCTGATGCTGCCATTGCAAACGGGGCGCCCAAGTTGCGTTGTGCCGCTTGCTCAAGCCCTCCGGGTGACCTTCTGGGCCCCTCGGGCTATGTACATAGGTTATTACGAATGCTCTTGCTTCTTTTGGCCAGAGCCAGTCGTCGTTGTTTCCCAGAACCCCACACCGATACCCCCAAGCGCTAGCCGTTTCGTTACGTGTTTCTTTGGCTCCCGGAATTCGCCCGCTGTCATCCGCCCTGCCCCTATTGTCTACTACGTCCCCGATGTGAACTATGCGGCAGTGCCGGGGGTTTTCTATTGGCCTTCCAGTTCCGCACACATACGCACTCGCGCAAGCAGTCAAAGAAGCACATGTGTGTCGACGACCACACATACACGCAAGCGACTGCCCAGTGCGTAACAACTGCGATGATAAATAAACTCTTAAATAGGCCTCGACTCCCTGGAGAGCCCTGAGGCGGTAGACGCCAAGCAGAAAGACGCTTGGTCGGTCGGATGGACCGCGAGGTCGTACAGTGGTAGAAGTGGCCAAGCAACGTCGCTTGCCTGACCAATACTATCCCTAGAGTGCGGTAGAACGAAAACTGAGAACGAGGCCGCTTGCACGCCCCCCGTAAAGGAGGAGCGCGGCCTGCTTTCAGCCGAAGTCTACGAAACGTAGGGATAGCGCAGTAAGCGAGCTGGCGACGCATCTCACTCAAAGAGACGAGCAAAACGAGACAAACGATGAAAAAGGCTCAAGCATGTCCAGGCTTTCGCTCGCTTGGCTACTCACCGCCAACGACCGCATCAATTCACAACAAACGACAACAAGAAGGGCAGCCTCGTTCAACGTCGCGCCGAGTGCGTCTAACCACGGATGTCTGAAAAGAATAGTGAGGACCGAGGCACCCTGTCCGTGGTCCCTCCCTAATGTTGAACTGGACTCACGGAACAAGGCAAGTGCTTAAAGGCAATTGGCTCTTCAGAGCGAAAAGCAACCCGTCAAGCAAACAAGTTTGGATCAGCCCGGAGAAAGCTAAAAGAGAACGTTGTTATCGTCAGGAATTTGCTGCAAAAGACTTAACATATACACATGCATATGTCTCCCGCGTGGAAATGGATCTTTCAAGCAGGTGCAGGTAGATTGTTAACGTTTGTAGTTATCGTTATTTAAAAGTAAGTCTGAGTAGAGGGAAGGTAAGGTGGACTGATTGCAAACAAACATCTGAAATCGGCAAAGAAGGTCCGACAATTGGTTATACGTCAAGTAGAAACTCAGTGTGTAAAAGTACAATCTGACAGATGCAAACCTGAAGAAATGCACGGCTGGGTCTCTGACCCAAAAGCCAAGTATCGCTAATTCAAGCCGCGCCATCAGCACCTACTAACGCAGCGTGTGTGACGAAATAGAAGCAAATTAGAAACATTATTATCACCACGTAAGCAATTCATTTCATCGTTCAGCACTATAGTGTGTCCTTTTACCTAATTAACATAGCTGAACATCTCATCTGATGAAACAAACTAAAAGTACACCTACATTGCAGGCTATATATATATATATATATATACTTTTTTTAAAATGCTCAATAGTTCGCTTTAGTTTCAAACGAAAAATCCTCGTCACCAGCTCGGACAATGGTAGGCCGATATCATCACCTATAACCCTCTATATTTACGGGAAAACTATTCATCCCTAACTATCCCTAGACGGTTCGCTAGCTGTTCCATTCTCGGGCTCTGCCAAATGACAAAGTGTTCAGGTTAAAGAAACGTAATAAAATTCAGATGATCATTATGTTGCTGTCGTTGGGAAGATAAGAAGATACTGTAGCCAGACCAAATGTTACCTTATTTATTTACGGGTTATTATTGATAAGTACGTTGTACTGTGACGAAATTTACGATAGAAAGTTACACTTATCAATGTAAATAACAAAGATGCATTCACTATGAAATCATGCATTTGATTTGCAAAAATGTGGCCTTATTTGTTGACGAAGCAGTACATTTCCATAACATTTCAGATTACACCATTAGAGAAAATGTATCTCGCCCTTGTTTTTTTCTCTGCAGCTTCACTTGAAAGGTGAAGCTCCGCCGCTGATGAGCTAAGATTTGCTAATTGACAACTCGTGTAATCTAAATAGTTCAGCAACCTAAATATGAAGACCCTCTCAGCATGTTGTACCGGTGTTCTTCGACAGAAGCATGGACCTACCCGCGTTAGGATTTTGTTTACGTCTTCTGATCGCTAACACACATTTTTATGCTTGATATTTTATATGAGTGTGTATTGTGCCGAGCTCGAATGCGACCTGATTCTTTTTAACAGGTCCCTGTGGTACCGTGCCGCCGTCCTATTTTAAAGCCCGATTCGAGTGAGTGGTTCAATTTGTATCTTGACCTGAATAATTGGCCTAACTGTTCAGCTGTTTTGTTGCGGCGTGTTTCAAGTGACGGCAGCCAGTAGCTCGCATGACCCTATTGCTATTTTCGAACCATGATTATATGAGTTTAGTTCAAGAACGGATGTATTATCATATATATATATATATGATATTATAGTTCTCATACGGTTGGTCATACCAGGGAAATTTTTGTACGAAACAATAGTAATCCAAAGGAACGTTACAGTGGAAGTATAATCCTGTTAATAAATGCACACGCCAAAAAAAAACTTCCTTTAATGATTAGCTAAGGTTGATATATCATCATACGACATACAGCGTGCCTATGTCATTTGCGACTTTTTTTTTTTCAAAAAAAAAAAAAAAAAAACCATTGCGCTGCGCGAAATGATCATCTCCTCATGAAAATATTCTCCTACAAAATCACTGGAAGACAGTGATTTTGTAGGAGAATATTTAACTTAAAAATTTTTAATTTTGATACAAAAAATCTCCGTCGGAAACCGTATCGTCGAATCTTTTCACCACCAACTTACGACGTGTTCATCGATTATTGTTCAGGTTTTGTCCCGAAATAGTAACAAAGAACAACAACGAAATAAGTAAGAGATCGAGGAGCAGGCCAATTTTACTAATGGGACGCCCATTAAAAATAGATGTGATTACCTATGATCATCTGGCCGCAAGGTATGTTTTTTTTGGGTTAAATAGGCAATCTACCTGAATCGGCCAGACACTTCATCAAGTGTTACGAGAACGCGTGCTGTCCAGGTGCTATTTTAATCCGAAGCCGATAAAATGTCTATTAGATACTCCGTGCAGGTCAAAAATAATATATTACTGTTGTCCTGATCAGTGAGCCTAAAAGTAGTACCACTTGATGCAAGAGGTGGTCAAATGGGCGGTCGAGTAACTTTTCGATGGTTATTTGCTGGTCAAAGCAATCGGTGCTTGACAGCTTTCTCTTTTACCACTGTTCGGTTCTGTTAGTTGCATTTCAACGTAATTTTCTCCTTTATGACTATTCGTTATTGAATAAGTTCTGCTTTGCCCGTTGACCTTAGCTGGCTTGAGTAGGCGCTAACTAGTTACTAACTACTTATGCCATTTAGTCCTTTGTACGCTTCGTGTATATTTAAGACGACACATATTAAACAACAAATATGGCGCCACCGACACTGCCCGGGTTAAACGATTATTAGACGGCCCAGTCATAGAGTTAAAGTTTACAGATAAGGAAATCGAACGGTCTCGCCACCTATTCCTCAAGTGAAACATCTCCCCTGTGTAATACGACGTATGTAATCTGTGCGTATACACTGTGTGTGAAACACAATAAATAGCCTTGTACTCTATTTTAGTGAATGAAAAACTCACACAACGATTTCTTTACCAATTAATATTGCGTCTGCTAAAAGCATGGTGCAGTGGTAGCGTACTTGTCTACCAGACTTACGGGAGCTTGAGCGATCTAGGTTGGAAACTGGGCATTTTGTCTTTCGATGAAACTAGCAAGCCGACGATAAGCTGCGGCAGTAGCACTGCTCGTGACGCCTGTAACATTTATCTGTTTATATTATACAGCATTGTGCAAGTGACCGAAGACGGATAGGTGCATGACAACGTCTTGATACACACTATTTGCATGTCAAACGATCCCGAGGGTACACTGTACTTTGTGCAATTGTCCGAATCCGGAATATAGAACGACACGGTTCCATCAGTTGGGAGACAGTGTCTGAACGAGTCGCGTTCGCTTGTGTCGCGACCGCTGGGTTGAACTTCGAAATATCCTTATGTAAAAAATAAAGCAAGCACACATTACAATTTTAAAGTGCTCTTGCTTTTGCGTGAGCGCGTGTAACCTACGATACGGTAATAGGCTGAACGCAATTATTCAGGGTAAAATTTAAGTTAGCAATGAATGACTACAGTAAGCAGCAGTAAGAGATTGAGTAAATACGTTAGGACAAGTATAGGTAATACGTATCGTTGCCTAATCTGGCGCGGTTACTTAGCTGACAAATGAACAAATTGGAGCAAATTTTATGACTTGTCGAGACAACCCAGGTAGTAACGGAAGTAAACGGAACCATATTATCATCAAATTTATTTTCTAAAAGTGTATTCAATTTACGCGGTGTAGCAGGTATATTAGCGGTGTATTACATACTGCAATGACAAACCGATTATCGAGAATATGAAGAATATGAATCAACAATATCAGATAAACCGTTGCTTGCACAATACGGCAGCACCAGTGTGGCGCGCAACAAGACCAATGTTGCTCCTTGACAAAAACAACAACTTCATTCTTTCTTTTCTTATCTATATTTATTCTATCCGACGCCGTCACCCCAGTTTTTCCCCCGTTCGTGCGTAATTTCTGCTATCAGGTCCAACCAAAGGCACTCGTCCCGACTCTGCCACCTTGCAGTAGCTGCAGCCGACGGTCCGTGGATCTACTTCACATGCTCATACGTGGAAGGCCTTTTCAGACAGGGGCCTTAACAGTTTCCAACTATTACTCCCTCGATTACTTAGGCCCAATTTCGTTCCCAAGTTTCCAGTAGTAGCACTGCTCTCCTATCCGGCGTTGGTAGGCGCACGGTTGCAAAACAGCTGATGGTCTGGCTTCATAGATATGGACAGTGGACATGTTCGTGCATCAGGGGTCCCGACGGAAAGCAATGTGGCAATTTCGCCGACGGTAGAACTCCCTGCGGAACTGGTTGTCGGTTATTGCGGGAGCTACGAAAGGAGCTGGTTAGAGCAGCAGAGGAACCCTATAAAGGGCATTGCGTGGACGTAAACTGACCACAGTCCACAGCCACCCATCCCTGCATCACTACGTTGACTGCTCCAATACTGCCAGCTAACCGAGCCATCTTACTACTAGGTTCGAAAGCCCACCCGCACACGTCGACGTAGCTAACGCGCCATGACATTCATCATTCCGCAATAGACTTTCACTGGTCAACAACTACAGCCAAAACAATAACACGAGCCATCGTCGACTGCCCTAGCAAAGCTAACTGCCACATCTCGTCGGGTATTAATACATTAAACGCACTACCACCATGTCACTAATTAAACCAAACTAGCAGCATAATTTAAGGTTTCTTTTATTTTTTCCTGCCTCTTTGCCGCTCAAATTTCTCCGCTAAAACGTCAAAGAACTAACGGAAAACTGTACAACTATACACAGGCAGCTTTTAACAGCTGTCGTAATGCACAGACACTCTACGAGCACAATTTCCTAAGTAACATGTAAACAGGATCAACCGCCTGCTTGTGGTACGGATTTCACGGACATCAGGCCTTCGCCTCCGGCCCCAGTATAATGTTCCAAGCTCGCTTGGCGGCTTAGGCCTGCGGTACCTTTGTCCTACCTTGTATTGTCTACCCGCGCAAACACCGTACAAAATATAAGGAATAATAGAGGAAGAGTCAACGACAACTCTATATGCTATGCAGATGTAGTTTATCTGATTCTGATGCGGGAGGCGTTAGGCTAATCAGGGCTGACGTGCTATGTCTAGCAAACACGGGACAATCACCGTCTTAAACAAGGACTAGCATGCCTGGGTGATCAATATTACATCCTTGCAGCGACTGAACGGTAGGTACTTCGTTCTCGCACTTACCGAATAACTGCTTCAAGTCAATGAGAAGAGTTCAAGACTCTACATTGTACTGGCAGATAGGGACTGTTACGATAACCGGGTGTTTTTAAATACCTTCAACAAATGCGGAGATAACACTTCCACGGCATCCTACGCATCGATAACGACGCACCTCGGACAATAACAACAGCAGGAGCGCATTGAGAAATAGCGAGAGCGAAAACAGGACAGCACTGTATTTGAAAAGGGCCATAAGTGTGAACAGGGAGTAATTGACCAACGCTATAACGTGAGAGTCACGAAGTCTGCCTGTCGTTTTTTATGATAGCGCCATCAGCCTTCTATAAATGGCACAATTACGACCTCGCGAAGGCGAAAAGGACGCTGTACCTCACACAGAAAGAGAGGGCAGCTCTTTTCGGAATCATATCGTGCGATGTCATTTTTCTGCCGACAAAAAGAACACAAACGCGACCAGGAGCGCACAATCTTACGTCGAGTCATCATACGGACCAAAGCAGGGTATTCTTGTAGGCAGACAGTTGTAATAGTTGTCTTTATTAGTGTTATCCCATTGTCGTCGCAGACAATGGGCGAAAATTCAATGAGCTTAATAAACAACAGCTATTACCGTGATGGACGTGTATGGGTTAGTTAGCGTGAAAAAGGCTTCGTGTCAAGAGGAGGGGCGCATTAGCTTTAATTAAATAATCCCACCCGATGCTGGGAGCCGTTCAATAATTTATGCAGGTAATGAAATTAAGCGCAAGCTTGAGAGTTACTTACGTACACCCCAAAAACGTGCGCTCGTTTTGCGTTAGTACAAGCGAAGTTTTAATGTAACTTAGTGCAATGTTTTTACTAGTTCGTAGATGTTCTTACGCTTATCACACACAACACAACGACAGATGAAATCGGAAAGGGAAGCTTCGTCTCAAAATTCACGGAAATTTACCTGGATAGATGGGGAAGTTATATGGCTATATATATATGTTCTGTATCTGTGATAAAGAAACAACAGGGTACAGTGAAATGAAACAGTACGGCATAAAAAATATACTATCCTTAGAATATAATAATATGCTATTTTTAGAATAATTTAATATTAAATTATTAAGATAAAAATGAATATTAACGTTTCAATTCGTTAGTCCTTTAAAAATGGCAGTTGGCAATACTATTTATCAATTGTTTTCTATCAGTTGTTTTTATTTATCAAATGGTAAGACTAATTGACGAATAGCTGGCTTAACCAACTGTATTTTTACCGTGAGGACAAGAGTTGTTTTGTAACCATATATATTTCGTACGGAACTGATAAAAGTTTTGTTTGCGACAGTGACTTGTCGGCGTCCTCATTCACGGCCCCAGAATACAAAAATTACCTGTTTGGATTGATTGTGAATCACACACAACACTCTTCCATCGAATCTTTATAAGCTCTGTTTCTGATGTAGAGAAGTCAGCAACGAACACTTCGGCCAGCGATCTCAACGCGTATTTCGTCGGTCTGATCTTTTTTTAAGTTTTTAATTACTTGAAACTGACATTATAAAAAAATTCTCAACCCAATATGATGATTCGAGCATGCGTTATCGTGACTGCAATAGGCTAGGGGCGACATGTTGCTATAGGCGGATCTTGCCAATCTAGCGATAGCTCTAAGGCCAAATTTAGACGTCTACTAGAACGTATTGAAAAGCTACTAGAAAACGACTAGCGGTCCTCGAGATGCAGCCGAGTGTATAGCAAACTTCTGCACTGCAAAGAAAGCGTTTGAAATGCATGATTTTGCACAATTCAATATCATCTGAGAAGTGACTCGCGGACCTGCAAGGTAAACAAGGCGGCCAAAATATGATAAAGCGTACTTGTGTCTTCGCGGGGAATGCATCGTTGACTAAGTATAACCAGCTACTTGAATAAGGAGCTACTCCGAGGGGCATTTTAAAGATCACTATGTATGACAAAATGCATATAGTTAATGTAAACTATAACTTAACCTTGCCTACGCATCGAACTCTTTTCTATTATGTACAAAAGTCTAGGTCAGGTAAATTAATACTTCCTAGCTATAATATGGAGCAGAATAAAAAGGCGCTCAAAACACAACCTAACAATACAGACATGTTTTTATCTGAATTACGCCACAACGATATATGTCTGATTTTCGACATAGAGGTACCCGCACACGTAGAATTTCTGGACGCAACAATGAGATCGACTCATAATTATTATATCAGTGCTATGATAAATCTGGAATTTCCACTTATGTCAATAGCGTTTTTCTACCACGGGACACAGAAATGCTTTGCTTTTATGCCTCTACCTTTCTCTTTCCCACTTCGCTTTCTTCTACTTTTGTCTGGAACAGGCGTACATTTAGAGTCACCGCTATCGACGTCCTGACTTGCCACACGTTGATCTGGATACCAAAGTTGGCCACTCTCAGGGAACCGATCTTTCCTTTGATCAGAACTTACACTTGAAGAATCGGACACTTCTAAAAAAGAATCGACATATCGTATCACATTTGATGTCAATATTATTACTTTTAGAATGAGACGTTACAGTGATAATTCTTATTTCAAACTGTAGTGCCTGCGAGCCTTTACGTCTGCATGTGTACGCATTCTTCCAGTACGAATAGGGTTCACGCATAGCAAAACACAGCCTACCATGTAACATACGTCGGTACCTCTTATGATCAAGCCTTGTTTTTCATTCGAACACATTATACAACCGTTTACATATCGTACAGGCGTTTAAATCACTGCTCCACGAAGAATACCTCAGGAGATTGCATAATTTTCAACTAGACATCCTAGGCCGTTCAATACTAGCGTACATTGGCATTGCTTGTCTTCAAATAATAGGTGGACGCTTATGGTCTCCCCTTAGTTGCTCGAAACGTGCGGTTTTTTTGAGTACTCGCAAAATTTCACACCGCTTTCGTTCGGTTGCATCGGGACAAGATCTGGCTTCGGAGCTTCATCCCCACAATTGACGGAGTGCTTCTGCGTTGATCTCAAAACTCATTCTTCTCATGACTTTGGTGAAGATCTTACTGTTTGTCCCTGCTCATCGGTAGGAAAAATGTACCACATCGCATACACTACGTCTCGTAGATCATTCGGAACTGCACCCTTGCATACCTGTAATCTACAACCTATCCTGCTACGAGGCCATTGGATCTGTAGAAGGCTAACTGCAAACGTTTAAAATAATATCTCATCTACATGAATAGCTGTTAGCCCTACTCAACGGCTTTGACTCGCCCAGGTTTTATGCGCAAAAATTGATTCACTAAGCACTACTAGGTAATGATGAGCTTCAATGACGTCGTTTCAATACACTACAATACAATACAATATTGACGCCACGTACAGAGTAGCATGAGGAGTATGCTTAAAAATTAGTCTTCAAGAGAAACCGATCGCCTTACCGCGACTGTTAATATTATTTAACCGCGTGGAAAGGTAACACGGCAGCCAACCTACTATTCGATCCTTAAAAGGCTTTAGCCTTCGAAATTTGCATTCTACCTGAAAATATCTAGAACGACTTGAAGGTGGCCTAACAGCAGTTTCGTTAATTTCGCAACTAATAATGGTAGCAATAATAAACGCCAATGCATTAAACATACAGGTTACAAAAATGTGCATCCTAGTTTATTGGGTAGAGCTCAGTCGATATTACTTAGTCCATGATTTTCACGCCGAAAACGATTCGTCGATGGATAATTAAGCCAGGCTTCCTTGAGTTCTCAATTTTGTTTCCTCAGAGCTTCTTTGCCATGGGACGTCTTGCCCAAGCACTGTAATCCGTAACCGAAAGGTTTCTACGCATTGCCGACAATAATGACCCGAAGAAATTCGTGCGAAGGCTAGTCCTTGGGTCGGTGATATCGAGAGTTTCCCGATCCAGCACAGATTCGATAGCTGTTGCACGCGGACGAGCGGTCCAATATTCCTTTAGATCGTTCGTCCTGCAAGTTCTTTAGGCCTCTTTTTAAGGGTGCTCTTGCTTGATGTGGATAATCTACTATCCAACGAGTGAACGGTTTTGGAACCCAATTTAGCAGATTTAACCATCGTTAATGCTGCAATGGTAGCGATATAGAAACCCAAATAGTCCCAAACAATGATTTTTATCTGGTTGGTCAACGGTTTCTAACACAGTACGCTCAAGTATGGGTTAACCATTAACGCGTTTGCTAGAACCAAGTCCAGAGTTCCACATTCGCGAAGATTCCAGACTCAGCTCAGACCCCCGAGTTCTGATAACTACAACTAAAGGTTACGAGGGTATGTCGAAATTATTTTGTTGACCTTAGATACGTAACACTATTTGAAACACTGTTTGAAACTTCGCTAATTTAAAGGCTTCGGTGCAACGTGGAGTTGCTTTTCTCGCTAACTAATGCAACTTCCCAATGATAATTCCTCGACAAATTTCAGCTCCGCTATACTTCTGATACCATAACAAAGTTGCCAACTGGCAGACAAAAGTTACGGCGAAACTAAATTATGCCCTACAGTTCAACGTCGTATTGAACGAAGGTGTATATCTACGGAGAATGCATAGAGTACCCAGGAGCGTTTCAATAAGCGCTCGTAATTGCTACTTGCTCGCAATAATAAGGTGTTCCTCGTTGAGAACCGTCCCATAACTTTCCCATACATATTCAACATCGAAGCATAATTATTATATTTTTATTTTCGTAACAACTTAAGTCATATTTAACGTATTTTAGCGTACGACGTGGACTGCGTTATGGAATCGCCACTAACTAAAACCATTCCTTTATAAAATGTTAATGAATTATTTTCTGAAACCAACTGTATTTAAATGATAGCTGTTTTTTTTTTGCTAATTTAGTTAGTTTTCGGATATTTGTTTATTCTTCAAGTAGAAACAATACGGTGCTCGAAGAGCATCGCTTGACGAGATAGTTAACTCTAAAAAAGCTACGCTCAAAACGTTCGTAGCGTTAATAATGATGCAGCTATTTTACAGGGAACTTCGGCAATGGAATAGAAAGCAACAGCTTTAAAATACTAATGAAAGAAAAAAATCTAATGAAAATAGTTGCATTTCGTTTGAGTGAATACATAATTTCCTTTTCACATTAAGGTATAGAGGAACAACGACAACTTACTATTACTAACTATGAATTATGAATGCTAGTGTAAACTACCTTTACAAATTACCTATGGACATTTTGAGAATCCCACATAAAATTAGGTTATTTTCCGTACCCTCTACTGATTGTCCTCTCCACTGCAGTGACACAAACGTTTCTCGCGGAACCATTACCAATGATCCTACTTCTTTGAGCTCCCTGAGTCGGGTTTCCTTTTCGCTACGAACACTGGCTTGCTCATCGAATGGTTTGTAGTCCTCTTTTTTCGACTTCCTGAGGTTGCGGCTGAGAGGTCCCAAAAAACAGATTAAAAAAATTGATTTAAACTTTATGAAACACGCAACGAAAGAACGCGGTATACAAACTTCAAATCGCGACTTCCTTTTTTATTCCTTTTATCTTTTTTTTTCTTATTTCCGTTCATTCTGCCGGAGCTTTGTTGCACGCAAAGTTGATTAGATCGGACAAAGTCACACACTAGACAACGTTTACTGCAGAGCCCTAAGCTACATCTCCGGCCTTCCACTCATCTTGGCCGTCTGCGCTTCATTTTCGGCGCTTTGCCGGAACTTCACTGCGGGAGGAGGGGTCACTAACGTACAACAGTAACCGTCATTGCTTAATTGCTTAACTTTGATGAAATAACAATTTTTTTCAGTGCAAAATTACAATAGGCACCTGTTTTTTTACATAATGGTGGTAAGTTTATTAGGTTACGATAGTAGCACTGGCTTGATCCGTTTTGGCTGGAGTACAGATTTATTACGGCTTATTGCTAGATAAGAATTGCTGTTCCATCGTTGTCCGTGTTATGCATACGTTAGCAGCTCAAGAAAAACTAATCATACGAAGCAACAGAAATAACACGTAGCTTACTTGAATGTCCTATCGAATTATCTAGGTAATACTGTTGTTCTTGTTTGTGCTGCGACTATCAGCTGCCAATTTCCTTTTTTCGTTATCCTTGGCGGAGAAGTGAACGCTATGCACGCCTCTCACATACAGTTCATAATTATACGGCAAATATATACATGTGTGTACAATTGCGTAAGAGCCGCATAGATCTAAGGCATACACTCGTAGAAAAAAACCTGAAGGACTTGATTTAACAGGAGTCGTTTCCGTCAAACCCAAGAAGCTTGATACCGGTATCGCTGGCCTCTCTGGTTTTCTAGCGAGTGTCTGTTGATCTTTATCGTCTAGAGATACTTGCTCGTCTCCCTATAACCAGACTCCGCAGAGAAGATACAAGCTGCTGCGTTTCCTGAGCGGACAGCCATAAATACTGCCAAAAAGTGGCATAGAAAGACAAAACAAACGTTCATCCGCCTTCGTTCCTGCGCATCTATTGCTGACCTGTTGGATTTTCTGGCGGACCCGGCTGCGGATCGCGAACGCTGGTATCACAGTGTATTGAGTAGCATTGAGTGATTAGCATTGTTCTGAAATGTTCTTTGATTTCTTGTCCGATCACTGAACTGGTAGACTGCAGGGATTGTAGATGATGGTAAAGGTTACCATTCGCCGGCGGCCTCAATAGCTTCCCTTTTTCCTGCCACTGTTATACCAACTGCTTCGTGCCTCCGTGTCTCGTAGTCCCGTCGTCTCTATCTGTGTGCCCTTACTGCGTTGTTAAGCGTAAAACAGTTCTTGCTGCTTGCAACGTTTCCGCCTGTCTGGCTGATTGTTCAGGCAACGTCTACGTCACGCACGTAGCTCATCGTCAACGATGATGGTACGACGACTGCTGCTGTTGCTGTTTCTGCTGCTGCTGCTGGTAGTTGAGTTTCGGGAACTGGCTGGTTCCTCTGCCACCCACACCAGCGCCACCTGTACAGGCGTCTTGTTTTACGCAAGAGAAACTGATTAAGAAAAGACTTGTGCGGGCTGTACCCGCCTCCACCGCAACAGCTTTCGAAGAACTTTGCATTGCATAACAACTTCTTATGACATGTAATGCCGCTGCTCGAGCGATTCCTCGCGTCATTTAACCGAACTAACAAACTCTAGGTACGGCAGATCTCTGCCGTGGACTTCTGTTCCTGTTCTTACCTCAGCGCAATTCTACACATCAAGTATCTGCGCGTCGCTGCAGCGACTAAGCCAAATATACTGTACTCTGCTGACACGACAGGGAGGGCAAAAGCAACAAAGTAAAAATATGGTAATCCCTCAAAACATCCACGAAACCGTCGGCTCCCTCCGCTAGGCAGGTTTGTTATTGGCTGTGCTGCTATACGTTGGTGGCGTCATCGCTCACATGCTCGTCTTGCGCCTGGCGTTTCACAATGCCCCAGGAGGATGGTTTCCACCCATGCGGCTGTTGTTGTTGTTACCCTACTACGAGATTTTGTTCTTTTGCTGAATACTTATACTTCAGCTCTACTATAGGCTTAGTCACATTCATATAGTTTATATTATATATCATAATTTTGATGTGCCCGACAATGATGCTGGCAGTTCATGGCAATGAAAACAAATTCGTTGGACATAACCAATATAAAATTCTGTTGTGCCGTAATCTGTTTATGATAATATAAGTTATTAAGGGTAGTTTAGAAATACATGCAATTTTGCAGTGTCTACCTAAGCGACTTAATATACCATAAAATGCAAAGAAATTAAAATTATTATTATATAGTCTCCGGTTCTATTTTTACCCTTTAGGAACTCATTTTCAATACGTTTTCAGCGGCATCTAAAGTAAACCTCCTTGGTAGGAATTTTTGTTAACTAGTGCGTACTACTACGCATCAGTGACTTCACAGAATAAATACCGCGCTAAACAGCGACACTTTTCCCTTACTATTATAAAGATCAGTAAGACATAATCGATGTTCTTCTTTCATATAGCTACCATTCAGTATAAAATTGTATTCAAAGAAATGGATACGTTGAAACTCTCCATTGTCTTCGTGGCCATATGTTGAGATAACACAACTGGCCTTTGATAAGATGATCATCGAAATAACCGGTACCCCTCCAAACGAATAAATGCAACAAGGCTATGATGGAGCGTAATTTTCTAAACATTCACTTTATATTAAGCACTGTTTGTCTGCCTCTATGGCGTTTGAAGCGTTCTCTTCTGCATAAACCTGTTGCAATTTCACCGCACAATTAACAACCCATATGGGACCCCTGTATGGCCCAGTTGCATGGAATACTCGAGGCTACCTTTTTACAATATTAAGGTATCGATAGTAAATCGGTAATAAAGTCGTTTCTTTTCATAACAATATTGGAAAATGTGGCTATGCTTCTGTTGTGCTGCAAAACCCAGAGTATCTTTTCAAAACGGACTGTCGCCTGTTTCGATCACCGGTAGATGAAATTCGTGAATGAAGGGAGCTCAGAAGAGGGCTGGACGAGTTCAACACCTGAACATTTCTGGCGAGGCTGAACAAATAAATTGGTTGAGAGATGGGAGAAAATTTATAAGGGTGACGGCGAATACGTAGAAAATCAATTTGTTACTAGAATTTCGGTGAAACGCTACGTCTTTAGGTAGACAAGTAAACTACCACTACCTATGTTCCAAGCTTACACCTATCTACAACTGTAAAAAGATACTAAGGCGCCTAAGTATTTTCAAGCATTATTAACTGGGACCTTTAAGAGTTCGTTTTTACTTTGGTATTAAACGTATCTAATGGTTTAGTATGGCTTCATGAATTCGTTTTTAGCTTTAGCCCTAATTCAACAGTAGACAATATTCTTGTGAACGTACGAACGCTATGAGTCCTGTCTCTGTGCTTAAATAATTTGTTTTAAATGTCTAGTAACCTTTTGCTTTTTCGCAGCTTGAATACCTTGTGATATAGAATTTCCCTATAATCTTTCGACCCAAGCCGTTGCGTGGGATCTTTCATGAGTAATCCTAATACGAAGTCTCTAAACTGCGTTTTCCTTCGTCGGAATCTCGGCTCCCATTTTACCTGAAATTTAATTATATCGAAATCGACATTGTTTTCAATATGTATGTCTTTGCAGGCAGTTTGATTTGCCCTAGTGTACGCATTCTATAAATTTATATAAAGTTCTTCTATTTTCGGATTTAATCATCAAGTTACAGATGCTTGAAGAAAACGACGGTACGTAGTATTTGAATAGAGACACCTATATACCTCGTCGCTAAGAATACGTTGTCTTAAAATTGTAGATTCGTTCCCTTCTCGAAATGGTAGGTGACCGCAGGCCATTTTGAATAGGCTGACGCCCACAGCCCACCAGTCAACTGCTCTGCCGTACGCCCTACCGCTCAAAATCTCTGGCGCCTGAAACTCTCGCCGGGACAATAGTGACCATCTGTTGTAATCTTCTGTGTAGAATTCCATTGATGTACGAACAAAAAACGTCGAGATCCATTCCTTGTTGCGTATGTAATTGCCAATACAGACCCTTGCATGTTCTACGTTCGCGAACTTTGAAAGGGACACGACAGGTACCATTCAGTATTAATTTCAGATATATATTTATGATTTAATTCTGTAATGTTATGGCTGGATTACGTACCACGTTCAGGCTATTGAATCACTGACCTGGGTCAGCTTGCAGCTGTCCTTTATCCCAACAAATAATCAATGTTTGACCGATACGGATTACGCGGTATTTACAACCGCATATACTAAGTGACGACTGGTGCTATCGATCTCTACTAACCCTGATATTATTGTTGTGATAGTACACGCTGTCGGGCCTGACGTCTCTGTGGATCACTCCTAGAGCGTGTAGTGCGCTCACAGCATTGACCAAGGCGTTCACAGCTTCCAGCAGCTCTGAACAACGAAATTTACTTTTCGGAGAGAAGAGGTCTGATAGAAGAGGACCCTCAGGACCCCGCTGAGTGATAAAAAAAAATATATATATATTGATTGATATCTTACTCTACAGCTTATTCTGTCAACATCAACACTTTCAGTTACCCATTCCTAATCACGATATTCAAAGCCATTTAGCAGTAACTAAATGCCCAGCTAGTTCAACAGAGTAATTTATCTTCGACCGTAGGCTTCATAGTGAGAGGATTATATATGTGATTGACCATGTACCACATAGCAACAGATTGTTTCAAGGAAGGCCCGGGTAGTCGGAACGCCTGTCGATATATTATCAGGCGTTTTTTTTTTTTAATTTCTACCTTATTTTTTTATCGATTTTTTCAGTAATTCACAAGGTAGCCGATATCCTTATAAATCTATCATCAATACCTGGCTCCTACACGCATTTAAAACAACAGAGACACAGTTTACGTCACCGACGACCTTACCGTCGAACAATCATTAAATAAAAAGAAAGCGATCTTTGTTCATAAAACGCTGACCTGCAGGAACACGTGTGCTTGTTGCGTGCAGAAAAACGAGACGTACTCAACACAAGGCATTCCGAACATGACCGAGGCTATTGCTTTCTCTTCGGAATATTTCACGTTACGCTGTTTTAGTCGTATAAGAAGCTTTTCGTCGGTGCTGGCCCGCAGGCCTGCGTATCTTTTGCACGAACTGCCAGGATCCCTTCTTAAAAATCGTACTCGTGTTATGTCTTCCAATTTTGGAATGTCGTCAATGGTAAAAGTATTTAGTTGAGGCTCGTCCGAACTTCTACTACGCGCCTGCAGTTTGAATTTCATTTGAATCGTAGACATACACAAAACCAAAATAGTTAAATTAGCTATAAATATACTCTCAACTTTTTACTGTTGATTGTTTAACAAAGTATTTATTAGGTGAAGCTAATTCTCAGCTAATAAAACGTTGTTGTATAGAAAAACAGTACATATATATTTGCAAAATTCTATCGAAATCAATCTACGTTAGCCTGCCTAATGAACTGGGGTGCGGTTACTGTGACAATATCATACCTTCATAACAAGCTCTTCGGCAATCACCTCCCAGGGAAACCGCGACAGCCCGTTTGCTATCTCGATCGAATTTGCCACACCGGACAATGCTTCAATGAAGTTTTTCACCTGAACCGAAATCTCGACCGTGACGTCGAAGGCATTCAGCGATGTGAATAGGTTGATAAATTCAACCAGGTTTCGTATGCTTTCCACGAGTACGTCATACTGAAGGACATTGTTCTGCACGCGAATGATTTTTTTTTTAGAAGGGACTATGCAAACAAACTGTGGCGACGTTGATGACGAAAGACAACCTTTAAGATTTTAAGTTTAAGACAACCAGAAGCGCTTCTTCGATTTGAAACAATGGTCACTAAGACATTTTTTAACACCTACATCATACCCGCACGGATAGTCTTCCACTCCAGATAAAAAAAATATCTAGGCGAAAATATTTAGATGAACTGCTAAATGTTTTATCTTAGTCTCGTACAGCTTGTCCTAAAGTCTCTTTAAACAATTACAGAAGCCGTAAGGTACGCATGCCTGGCCCGTAGCCACGCCGTTTCTATGTATTCGTCCGTTACATCGTCGGTATGTTTGTCACATTAACACCTCTCTGTGAAGGTCCGTTTTTCCCAGAGACCTAAAAAAATCTTTCTGCGGAAGATTCGAACACAAGACTTGTGTATGATACCAGCCTCGCTATCACCGCAAAGATCGCCCGAAGATGTGCAACAAGATTTTTAGATTTTGAAAAATACTGCCTGTAAACTGACTATAGAAAGCTTACAGATTTAAGCAAATAGATACAATAAAATAGCGTTAGAATTTCCCGTTGCAATCTGCAGCTAATATCAAGCGACTCTGATTCTGAATTGGACAGTCAAATGACTATGAAGCGCATACCTAATTCGATTTTCGGTAAATATTTCGATAAATCCCTTCTTTAAATACTATTTATTAGTAACGCTTCAAAGAACACCGTGTACTTCAAATCAACAAAAGCTCACCAGAATTCGAGATCCAGTCTCGTACGCTACATTGGCTACCTGCAGGCCGCCAAAGACTCGACAAGGCGACCACTCCTCACGGACAGTGCGTTCATGTTTGTAAAGAACCTCCAATAAACCTTGACATATTCGCAGTTCTCCTTGATCTCGACAAATAACGCCCCTTAGAAGTCGCAGATAAGGAAGTGGCAACAACTGAAATGAGAACTCCATCAGCGCCTTAATGGCGCTGATATTTGGTCTCTTTCCGTGTCAGTCTCCCTTGTATATGCGTGTTGACGTAAATAGATATAACTAAGCACTAGGCCAATCAATGGCTTCGTTTCCTCTACCATATCACAGTGAGCCCCAACCCTCTTGCTTTGGCCCGCAACGACGCACCGTCGCTGAAGGTGCTAAAAGCATAGATTCTACCCAGTTAAACGACCATGGCGGTGAGTAAGACTGCGGGAAATCGTTAATGTGAGGGCCGATGATCGACATGTGATACGGCTACTCGGTTTGGATGATAAAAGGACTCGAAGGCACCAAGCTTCGTTCCTTGCTTGGATCGATTCTTCGGCTGCAGCCGTCCGACGCAAGAGCTTAACCATCGAAAATATGAACGCCGTAGCCATGATAATAGGTTAAGCGTGTATCTGGTACGGCCGTATTATTGTCGAGTCACGAAGAACATAGTGAAATATCTTTGAAGTATCATTATTGGCAATAGTATGATGTAAGAATGACAGAGGGAACAAATTCCTTTTTGGAGTTACATAAGCTATTTCAACGTGATACGTGGGTAAGCCCGTTAAACAATTGGAGTACAAATGTAACGTGTGAACACTAGCAAAAGTGTCCTTATTGGATTTTACATTAGCATTTTGCCTGTTACATTATTGATGCTTGATAAATTACTGCGACAGGGTTAAATTTCTATGAAAATAATAAAAGGGCTCGTGATAACTTCTTTTTATTGTCAGCGTTCTCGTGATCACACATGTGAATATGATGTTGTGCATACGAAAATATTAATTCTTCTGTAATTTCGATAATTTACATTTTTCCGGCACAAAATTTTGGTTGACAGAGGCATATTGATGCTGTTTCAATAAGTAAGCAACATCGAGGAATTGCTTTGATCGTTTCAAATGCTAGAAATAGCGAAACATGTTTTTTTGCCACTACGTTACTGAAGCGTTTCAACAAACAAGATTTAACAAGAAATCCTGTTGCCTTCAACACCTTTTTAATATAGTGCTGCTCCGAATTCTTTCGAAATTTGACTTGTCGTTAGTCGGTAAAATTAATTCAGAAGTGGAACTTCCTATTGTTTTGAAGAACGAAAAGCGAAATTGCATGCTAGCCAAGTAGTCTTTTACTGAGATACATAGTAGGCGCCGAATGTTCCTGACGCAACGTTATGGTATTCGATTAATATAGATATTTCGATAACCTTAAGATCTACTTCCTAGTTACAACTTAATTTGAAAATAAGTTGAGCCTCTAGCCCGCAAATGGAAATCTCTCACATGATGTACACATCTATATATACTCGCCGGCTATCGTTTACTCCTTTCTACCTGAGGGGGCATCATTCGAAGCAGGCTTCAGTAACTTGAGTCAAACTGTAGTGTCTCTGAAAAGATACACTGCTGCATGCGTCTTAACAAATAATAACGCGTTTTTAAAACGCTTGTATTGTTGTAAATTTTTAGACATTACTTAGTATTTTTTTGTAATGCATGGAATTTTCACGAGAGTTGACTGTGATAAATATGAATTCTACATACTCAAATTCTATATGTAACCTATACGTAAGCTGTTTTGTAGATGTGTTACGCAGTTATACTTTATATACGTTACTGTAAATAGGTTAAAAAGGCAACGAAACTATGAACGTTAACTCAGTAACTCGACGTAAATGATCTCGATGGCTTTCCTTATCTATTACCGCCCAGAGAACAAAATTGCTTGTTTTATCAAACGGCATTTCCTCTTCAAATACTCCTATTGCAAGAGCTTCTGAGTTTTGGTCTAGCCAGGAAACTCCGATTTAACCCTAACTTGACACTTTATTATTTCTCTATAGACTTGGTTCGTACCGGCCCCTCTCCTGGGTCACGCCAGACGACATCGAATGATGAAAAATATCGCTTAGAAAAACACAATATGGCAAATGGCTGTTCAACACCCGGATCTTACACCGAAGTGACTAATGACATTGGGGCTGTATTAGAGATCACTCTTGGTAGCCACAAATCGGTGCAACAAAGAACTCTGTCAACGGCAAATTTTTGGCGCCCGTAATGGACACTCTTTCATGAGTCCAAATTATACAAGAGCAAATCTAGTCTATATACAAATAATCGCATCTCCTCGAACAAGCGATCGAAGGCGAGCATCTCGCGTAGCTAATTCAACTCTAGGTAACTATTATTATATAGAGAAACAAGAACCACATCTATATGGAGAGTTTGTATCCTGTGTGGCCGTTTTACTGCTGAAACTATCGTTTTCTAGCGAAGAACCCTCTTATGAGATATGTGTCTCCGTTAACAATAATACTACGCAGACAAGGGAATGGAGGCAACGCTTTCCCGTATGCAAGGAGCCGTGTGCCACGACCTGATTTTCGATATGGACCCCATTTAATTTGATGTGTTTCAGCTTAGTCGGCAGACACGTTACCACTGTGCAACTATGAAAACAACACACGACGCAAACACGATTTGTCGGCCCACAATTTTACTATGGTCTTGTGAAGTTTTTCTGTTACCGTGAAAAGCAGACGCAAGTAGCTTTACTAATTAGAAGTTGAATGCTATTTGTTTCCTTCCTCTGAGTATTCGCAGAATCAAAATTATAACACTTTATTTTTGAAGAACTTGAAAACTGTTGTTGTTGTTGAAAAACTACTGTTTTTTTTTTACATAATTTTAGTGTATAAAAATGGCTATAAAACTACCATAATTGGTACTCACTCCACCCATGAGAAATTTCTATTTTTCAAAGAAACACTTCGTTTGATAGCGATTTTCATTATTGCGGTATGTCGTTACAGTCGCAACTCAAAAGGAAATAGTACTTCTTTTGAGAATTAATTATAATAAAAATATAAATATAGCCGCAATCAAAGGGAATTGCAGGCTTTTAATTTTAATCAAAATGTCGTAATTCTTATAATTTTACAAAACGAATAGATTTAAAATATGTGCAAAAAATAAGCAAGCAATAAATACTGAAATGTGTTTCAGATACGGTCAAAATATTTTAGAATTTCCATTTAATAATAATGCGTTTACTTTAATAATGTCAATCGCTCGTTCTTAACTATAGTTTTAAGTTAGCCTTTTTTTGAATATACGTTTTGTTCGACGACTGGTCAGTGTTTATAATTTTCCACCAGAAGCGTTGTATTTTGCTAAAGAGGGACACGCCACCTAATATATCGCGACGTAATAAGCGAGGAATAAATCAACGGCACGCTGGAACTGCCACGGCACAGACATCTAGATCTGCTGGTTGTCTTTCTCCAGTGGCCGCCTCGCTCAGAATTACCGTTCGAGATTCGTGGTCGATCTACCTTCAACGGATACGTTTGCTCTCGACTTGATGTTCCTTAAATATATATACGACGATAATGGCACCACAAAACTAATCTTCTATCACAGTCTAAGTCTTGATAAACGTCCAGAGAAAATTCAGGAGGGTCCAGGGAGAATTACGTCATGAAAAATGTGAGAGTTGATGTGTTGAGTGCTTTTCCTGTGATTTCCTATGATTGTTTGTTTATGATGTTTAAGTACGACTAGGTCACCTTTTGAAAATAAATGCTACGTCCTAAAAGTTGTGAACTCAGAGTACATAATATTGTTTGGGAGCCAGGTGTTCTCTCTTGTTGGTATCTCAATGCTGGATGATCCACGTGTGCAGCTGTATATTGCAATGGCTGAAAGTCCCAACTGCCATTCCTGTACATGAAACATGAAATAGATCAAGCATGCGGATTGCAATTCAAACCAGTGACAACAACGATACCCTTTCATCCTGCGTCGTGCTGGCAATAACACGCGCTCCTGTTCTCTGTTGCCAAAACAAAAATTATAAATAATCTGTTACAAATGTTGTTTTTCAATTAGAAGCTTAAAGCACCATGACGTCAATAGCTTAAAGAGAGATTCGATATACTCGCATGAAACTCAAAGCTCCTCTGTATATATACATACATATAACGCCGTCACTATTTGAATAAAGTGTCGCTTGACTTGCACCGCTCTTTATAATCATTTTCTACGAAATTCATTATTGGAAAAAGACAAGGGTTGCGACTAAGTTTCCCATCATGCACGTAGCCGCAGTCCAGCTTGTCTGTTAGTTTATGATAGCTCCAGCCATCAACAGATTACTGCATATAATTGGAATTTCGTCTCGACTTCAGAGACATATTTTATACCGAATGAAATCGTGATGATCAAGCAAATCCACCATCCTTCTTTTCCCACATCCGCCTTCTGGCTTTGTTTCCCTTAATGTTCTCAGATATTTCCGCACTTCTCGGGCTTGTTATCCCTGGGTGCCGTTCTCGCACGCCTAATGCGTCACATCCTCCCGTTGCCGTATTTTTACGGACGAACCAATACCCTTTCCCAGATTGGCTTCCGTTTCGCTCCTCTGCCTCTCTTGTAGACTCGTGCTGGGCCACTGCAGTTGGGGCCTGGTGCACTCAGCCGAGATCTTAGGCGGCTTGCGCCTATTTCGGCCTAAACCATTCGAGAGTCTCACGACTGTCCTAGGCTTTTCCCTCTCTGGCGCAGGCCTTCTCGGGCCTTCGAGTTTCGTCTGCACCATCCCGACCCTTTCCCTCGATGTGAACGTTTTTCTCGACCTCCTCCTGTGTTTGTTCGTTATTCCCCATCGTCGGGACTCAACAAGAAAATGGCTCCCTTCGGATCTCTTGACCCGACGCTGATCACGCCAGTTCTACTATTATCATGATGTTACAAGTCAACGTGTTGAAGCCGCCGAAAATCTGATAGTCCGTTAGTCGAGCCTGTCTCAGAAGTAGCACACTAGGAGAACTCGAAGAGAAGCAAGTTTGGTATAGATAGTTATTGTACCAACGCGTTCATTTATGAATGTTAATCGGTAACTAGAGTCAAGCAACCTTAGTGTTGCCACCACTCGCAGTGTATCTAGGACTTCGATAGAAAGTGCCCACAGAATCCGACCTTAGGACCAAGCTTAGAAGGTCGTTTGAGCGCATCACTCGTTTTATTGCGGTCACAGCATAACACGCACCAATCGAACCCTTGACGACTTATTGCCAAGTTATTCTTTTCACTAAACCCACGTGACGACTTTCCTCGTATTCGCTGTAAAATATGGAACGATCAAGAATGCCGGAAGGAACATGATAAGGATACAAAGCGAGGATACCTGTAACAGCTTTATGCAGGAGGTCAAAATAGCACCAGCAGAAGAAATCCAAAGTGAAAAATCATTGCTCAAGTAACGTCAATCAACACCATGGGGTAGGGATCCGAGGGCCAAAGAGTGATATCAAACGCGATGGATAAGTGATTCCGAAACGGCCCGTAGATTCTAGCATTAGGACCTTAGCACACATTAGAACGAAAGCGAGACAAAAGTAATGAAACTAGCAAGCAAAGGCAGGTGAATACGCAGCGTTTGCCTGTTTTTTCTTGCTTGTCAACCACAGCTAGACCTGAAGCAACGGAAGAGAAAAAAAAACTTGACTTACAAACAACTGGATGACCTCAACGATAACAGCCTGCATAGTACAGTACGATAACCGCATTTCGTAACATATTGTAACGCTGAACAAGAAACTTCACACAGTTATACCAGTATGATGAAAACTATGCTATAAATGCGTATGCCCACTATGCTATATTGTGCCTACTTAACGGATCTTCGAATGGTAGAATCAAATCCCAATTCTCGTTCTATCACTAATACGAGCACCAGAACTCACAAATAATAATTAAGTTCACAAACTTGCTAGTTGTCCATGTTCACCTACTCGCGTTGATTCTTGATACAGGCTTTGTTCAAACGTGTAGGAGAAGGAAGGTTAGTCGGAAGTAAACGCGCGGGAGGTCGCTCGCGCCAACGATTCCTGTCGTGTTCCTGTCGTACCGTGTGTGTTTGTATAGAGTCGACGAGAGGATTAACCTTACGCAAATAGGCACGAATAACGTACTTGCCAAGCTCTTGCCTGCAGAGACGAGATCCTACCAGTACATTTACGAAGAGTACCATGCAGTGAGGTTCATCGCACAGATGAGCTGATTTACTGTAGAGACGGACAAAAAAAGGGAACGAAGGTTCGCGAACCCGGCGGTGTGTCCCTCCAACCCTGCCGGAAATTATAATTAATTTTAGAGTGGCTTCTTTTACTCTTACCATTTCTACGGCCTGTTATGCAGATATAACATGAAAACATCGTAGTTTAAGCTTCAACGTCGCATTGTATTCGATCACCTCGTCTAGAGCGTTGTTGCTTGTTAATTGTAGGTCTATTCCCACTATCTGTCTTTAACACTCTCGCTTTCGACCAGTAGGAGCCTAAGTCGATCAGGTACAAACAACGGGAAACGCAAACGGAAGCGACTTCTTACGAGATGTCATCGAGCGACCAAAAAGCCGAAAAGAAACCGGTGATACAAAAATCAGTTAAGATAAACAATAGTCTTTTTTTCATCAGAGTGAAGGCCCCTATTCAGTCTAAAAATCAGTAACAGAAAGCATACATTCTTCAGTAATCTAACGTACTTACAGCTTCGTGGAGGATAGAGAATCGACTTGTTTTGAAAAACAGCGTATGAAGCATTGCCTCTAATCGGGCAGTCCGAAAAGATCTCAATCACACATGACATTTAATACGGCTCGAGCAGAAGTAACCCTGCAATCTATCATCCTCAACGAGTGATTAACAAAAAAATCTATATATGTTAATCCATTGTACGGGACATCGAACAAATAACGACGACGAGGAAAAAGAAGAAACGACTGACCCATTAAACGAAAGATCTTACCGAAGTCAGGTGTATGTAGCAGCGTCAAGCTAAGATTGTGAGCGTTTCGTGGATATAAAACCGAGTCATTCGGAGAAACCTCTACAAAGACCAACGCGTACTGTATGATACTTCGACGGCAATAATACCATTAGCAACACTGTGTAGTAATAAAAATGGGAACCCGTGCGGCGGCTTGTGAGTATCATATATAGTAATAATACTAATAGTAATAGTGTCCAACGGAAAGTATTTATCTAGTCCTAGATCTGGCTCAAAAGTAATAGCACAGATAAAGGAAAAACCGTCTTAAACCGGTATATGTGGGGTTTGTACAATATCTCTACTATACGCCAGCCAATGACCGGCATATTATTTTGATTCAATAGTAGAGCACGAACAATTTTAAAAGATTAATGATTATCCTTTAGTGGTTACTTGCGTTATATTTGACGTCAGGAAAAGCTTGCGTGTACGCTTGAAACAAAGGCCAGAGTCTCGCTTCCTCTGCCAGTCACCTACTGGAAACTATAACGGAGAAGCCGAATGCGATCTTATAACGACTAACGGCACAACAAGCAGCTTTAGAAACGAGAATAAACAACGGCCAAAAATGGCACGGAACTTAGCTACTCGTGGGGGTTATTCTGTTGAAATTTACCTATTCATATTTTGGTCGGAAAATGCATAATAGCAGGCCCATAAATATGCGTCATGCATAGAGATAAACAGGACTGACAAAGATCCTAGGGGACGTCCCTGTATTTAGATATTTCCATGTCTTGTTAGGTTATTTTTTTCACGGCTAGATACGATGCGATGACACCCTGTGCAGCATCTACTTATAATTGATTCTGGGAAATGCCGATACCAAACGAGGTCATTATGTGGACGGTTCAAGCATTGCACGTTAAGGGCGGACAAAGTATGTGGAGAAAGACATAAATGAATACAGAACATTATCTAACTGGTTATTATAGTGGAAAAAATGTGGACAACACAGCAAACACTGTGTTTTTGGGTATTGCTGAGTGCAGACACTGTTATTCTAAACATTCATGGAAACCGATGAAAGCAATCACAAACATGATAAAGGCATTTACTTGTGTATACGCTACCTAATTTACGTATAGGTCTATTCAAATACTTTATTGTTAGTTGCAAATATGTTTATGTCAGATGAACAAAGAAGATAGATAGCTTAGATCCATTTTTTTGTACGGGACTAAGTCGTACATATATAAACAAGGTCTTGTCATTGAACCTAACAAGTCGTGCCGTACCAATATGCCTAATAATGTATATAATAGACACGTATTTACGACAACACATTGTCGAAGTGCCTTGGTAAGAAATTAGTCGAAGATCTTGCTAAGACGAAAAGAACCATTGAATTACTAAACACGACAATCAGGCTTCGTCGTCAGTTAACAGGCATAGAACTTTTCCCGTCTTTTTTCCTGTTACACTTTGACATACAGTTACAGCGAAGGTCAAAAACTTAACGGAGTTCCATTCGCGTATCATGTACGGGCCGCCACCCTTACCATCCGGAGTTGACGTCTCCAACACACTCAAATACTTTTCGCTCACACTTCTTAGGTTAGTATACGGTCGAACAGTATCGAAGGCGACATACATCGTGTTAATTCATTTAAGAGCGTTACCTCTGGAACTGGTTTGGCATTGCATGAGAACGCATCCTTGTATTTAGTAATGATTAGGATGAAAATGGTCATCATGGAATTTCTCTCTAAAGTATACTATTTAATTATAGCTGTAAATTTTTTAGAGGTATTTGTCTGGATCTCGTTTCTCTCGCTCACATCCAGGTGTTTGCCGCTATACCATGAGACTTGAGCTAGCATTCTTGTTTAGCTACATGGAACCCACTGAAGACACATCCCGCTCTTGCTGGTCCTAAGTCCATACTTGTTTCGATAAACTACTTCGGCACAATTACATTTATATTACCTACCGATCTACTGTCTTTTGCCTGCAGCGTGCTCAAGGATGTACCTACGATTCCCCTGGAGATGCTGCGTTCAACCGAGAAGGATCACGCACGTATCAGCCTCTTCCCCAGCCTCGACTATAAGGCCCTGTATCAGGTGCTCGTTCACCTACTCGACTGTGTGCCTATGACTACATGTGGAGCACACTGTGAGTCGTCAAATCGATAAGCGTTATATAGGATATCTGCCATTAATAACAAACAGGCAAATACCGATCGATTTGGCACAATTATCTTGGAACGACAGTTATTATACGTTTTGAAAAAAAGACATATAGAGTTCCCATTAATTCTACCTTCTTTATTTAACAACACATGTTGTGTAGTATATGTCGATCGCGAAACTTCTACCAGCGACTCCCGGCTTTTTCAACCACGGGCACATTAACTATTATCATGAATTTTACGATGTTCACTCTGGTACCTTTGTCTTTTTCCTGTTGCAGTATTGGGACAGACGATCCTCAATACGATGGCATGCCTAGTACCATTTCTCGAGCACGAATATATGGATACATTGGGCTATATCGTTGCGTCTGCTTTGGCCCACTTTCCGACCAGTCTTCACAAAGATATTGTCGATCTGCTCTGCAATCACCTGCTGCCTGTTACGATCAGTAAGCGATTATCTATCGACCACTCATATGAAATACATTTTGCAGACGTGAACCGTACCCTGCCTTCTTAGTACATAATGCGTATTTCTTCTGAAGTGATTACGCAACTATTGTAATTTATCTCCTGTAATTTTAGCTAAATATACTGACTACAATCTTATAAACGAACTAGAACAAGTATAGGAAATTCGTCTCACATACAATAACAGGGAATGCGAGCCGACGTCCTAAATTTGCTCTGCTATATTTTTCCCTATCTTACTTAATTTTTCTGCTCGATTTTCGTTCTTTTTCTAGCAAATAACTCAGTGGGTAGTGGGAGCGAGCCGGAGGTGCCCGACTATGCCAATTTGTCGGTGGCCAGCATCATCATGTTGGTATTTCAGTACACCGATCAGATGGCTCATCAGGCCCAGCTGCTCGAATGTCTTCTTTCGTTGAAACGGGACATAGTCAAGGACCTGCTGTGCGTGATCGCGCACGGTACAGCTAAGGCGCGCCATCCAGCCGTCGAAATGCTCTTCCACTACTGGCCAACGCTGAATCCTACGCTAAGGGACAAGAAATTCGCTCCGCCACCCGGCCTAGCAGGTGGAACGGCGAGCGGCTCAGGCGGAGCCGCGGGGAGCGGAATCCAATGGAAGGCACAACAGTGTCAGATGGAAAATTGCATAGGGGCGGCCACCGGGAATAATCAAGCTATAAAGGTACGGCAATGAAAGAGATGACGACGATGATGACCCTTTAGTTAAAGGTTAAAAGGCAACACATATAATAATAAACCTGATTATTGAAAAATGTTTACTATTTCCAACATTTGTGAGGAACTCGATGGGTAAGAACGAAATAATAACGGTAGATGCTAAATATCGGGTAGTTAACTGATGATAGCATAATCTTTTGAAATATGCACTATAATCTAGTTTGGACCATGATGACAGTTTCTTACAAGGAGTTTTTACAAACTCCAAATGCATTTACATGCATTTGTGCAGATTCATACTTCTTCTTACATCGAATGTCCTTTTTACATTTTGTTTGCAGATCTGTCTTGATCATTCGGTATCAATTTCGTCCGGTGAGCGACCTCCTCCACTGCATGTATGCCAAGCGTGCTCCGACCAGATCCGTGGAGAGCACGCCAATGCCAACTCGTTTCTCCAGCCGTGCTTGCTTCCGCTTAACGAGATCTCGCTTCAATGCGAAAACAAGGTCAGCCAGAAACAGAACTTCATAAACACACGTCTAGAGGATAACAGCTACTTGCTTTTTTGTTTCAAATCAAAGTCCACTTTAAAAACAGCTTCATTCATCAGTGAAATTACAATTAAGAGAAACGAGTTGTCTATTCAGATTATCGCTTCTGAACAACTGTTTTATAAAAAATTCAAGTCGGTTGCTGCCTACAAGGCTTGTGATTATCGGCGATAAAATACAAATTGTTAATCCGCACAAAGAAATCTGGTAATCATTGTAACCCTTTTTATCACGCGCTACAGAACTGCGTTTCCAAAGACAAGACAGCGACAAGTACGTGCTTCTCAACGGAGTGCGCCTCGCAAAATGGCAACCGGCCACAACGTCTCTGTGGGCCATGCACCCACATTCGACATCCGGTCGGCCATGGCCATATCGTGCATCGTAACTTGCCCAGTCCCTGGGCCATGGATACCGAAACACAAATGTTCTTCGTTGAGGCTGTTGTCAGGTTTGTCAAGTGTTCCAATCAAAGGTGAAACATACTTATTGCATAGTACTATTTGCCACTCGTCATTACATATATACATTCTGCTGATCGATTTGGCGTTTTCATCTCTTTTCATCAGTTTGTTGAAAGAAGCACAGCCAAGCACTGAAAAAGGCTCAAAGGATTCGACAACGGTCGACAGACGAGCGGGTGTTACTCTACAGAGTAACGAAGGTGAAGAAAGTTCTGAGCGTTTAGCCCAGGAGGAAAGACAGCTGCTTAGTAGATATGGTACGTATATATATATATATATATATACGTGAGACAGCTTTTTAAGGATGCTTTCCTTAAAAAATTTCTCTCAAATACATGACCGTGTTTTCAAATATTAGCCGTTAGTATTGCATTACCTGATGCACTCTAGTGACGTACCATATCATATACAACGTACCATATTAATAGTGTTTTGGGAAGCCAATATTCCATACAACAATTTTCACAAATCGAATAAAATTGATGTCGTTACCATATAAGACCTTGGATAATCAGGTTCTGAATATCACTAACATTTCTATAAACCTACAATCTGTTCTGTACCGTTTTTCTGAATAGGCATCTGGTTACTCGTCGGCCTGTGTACCCCAGACGAGAAAACACCTCCCGACACGCTAGGGCGTTTATTGGGAATGCTCTTCCAGTGGTTCCATTACACAGCTTGTTTGCCTGACGATCAGACAGGCAACTCACTCGAACGTCTAAAAACCGAGTACATCAATGGCTGGTTGATGGACATTGTGCGCACACATTTCGATGTATTTGTCTCATGTTTGCTACCGCATCCTGCTGAATATGCGCAAGTTGGTGGCCATTGGGATGTGTGGCCCTCGCAGACGGAGCACATTAAAGAAGGCTTCCGTACACTCCTATGCCTTGTGCCTTATGATATCATTAACAGACAGGTAGACGCACGTATATAAGTAAAGGCAGAGAAAGCCATAATGGAATAGGTTTGGTCGCTTGGTCGGCTTAAGTGCTAGGTGATTTGATAAAAATGCAGATTTTAGGACTGGCGAAAATCTATTATAAATGATGTAGTTAGAATAGAAATAATTTTACTTCTAATGAACAAAGCGTTACTGTTTTAAACAAAGTATAATTCAGTGTGTGTAATCTTCCAAAAAAATCTAATTTAAAAGTTTCTTTCGCTCTAATATGATTTATATACAGCTTTAGTTGTCCTAAAAGCTGATTACTCGATTTGGGATGGATAACAGGTGTGGGAATTTATCATGCCGTACTGGATGGAGGCATTTCGTTTCGAAATTCCCGAAGCGGAGCTCGCAGAGCTGAAAATCTTGCTCAGTAAAGTTCTCGATCCGGATCTCAGCCCGCTCGGTTTTGAGATCAAACAAATGTACAGCTTTCTTACGCAGCGTTTTGATTGTACCTCTGCCCGGGTGCAAGAGCAAGCCTTATTCTGGCTGCAGGTTCGTCTTTTATTATTTCTAATTCAATACATTAAAATGGTTCCGTGTTAGATTTCGATGACAAAGTAAATACTTCTTCAACTGTGTGGTAAGCTATAACGAGAATAATCTGGTTAAAGGTTTTCAATTTGTTACTATCCCCAGCTTGCTTCAGATAGCTGACCCTAAAGTACGAAACAAAGCGTGTCTACGCTTGGTTTTGAACCTAGGCCACCTCACGTCTTCTTTATTTTGGTAGACAAACGCGTCACAATTGCAACGACACAAAAGCAGATATCTGTTTTCACCACAGTCTGACAATCTTCCTACAATACAAAAAGCCCTACCATTATTTTATATTATACTTTGGGCAGCTGTGTGTTGAAATCAGTACATTTCACATATGAATGGCATTCATTACTCACAGATCATATACATTTTCTTATTGTGCTTCAATTTTAGATTATCACCCAGCTAGAAGTGCCTGTCCCCTTAAGCCTTCTATTCTCGATGTTCAAACAAGGGGTGGAATCATCAAAGAAGAACCACGAGGAAGTCGTGTCAGGTTCCCACGCGGACGCTGCAAACCAACGGACACCAAAGTTCCATCCGGTACGCCAGGACACAACGGGAACGATGCTATCCTCCCTGGGCCTCGACGGTTTACCGTCGTCCTGTTTCCCACAGGAACTCGCCCAGGAAGAAAAGCCCGATGGCGAAGTTGAGATCAGTTGTCATATTCTTATGTTAGATATACTCATTAAGCAACTTGAGCTGCAGGAGATCAACAACCATAAAGGGTTAAACACGAAAGAGAGTAAAGAAATGCAGAAGCTCATCCGAGAAATGCTCACTTGTGAATGGGTCCGCGCGCACAACTGTACTCCGCACACTACCGAAGAAACAGGCTCTCAGGTGTTGGACCTTGGCTGTGTCAACTGCGAGCTAAACTCTATTTGGTTCCAACTTGCGTTGTCCATCTGCGAGTTCATTTGCCCCGTTATGGAGGTCGCGATGGCCGATGTAAGTCAAACGACTAATAGACCGCATACGACAAAATACCCGTTCACTGATATTCAGTATCTTTTTTCGCGTCTTCCGTTACATTTTAGTAAACTCTTGTTAGATGATAATGTCACACATATTAAGTCTATCGATACCTTGAACGAATAGATATCTCTACAATATTGTACAATCATTTCAGATACCTGGGGATCACACCTCAATACCTCGAACCCCTAAAGAGCACCACGCGTCATCGGGTTTTGGTTCGGAAAGGCACCGATCGATGACGAAAAAGGAAAAAGATAGTGATTTTGTGGCGATCAATATTGAAGACCAACAGATCACCAGTGGCCTTTCAGTAGCCGGTGCCAAAGTGCACACTGCCCAAGTAACAGATGTCTCTGGCGAAACCGTTGCGGCCTTGCCACAGGAACAAGTAATGCAGGCTATCGCAACAGCTGTCACTCTTACAGAAGACGACGTTCCCGAAGCCAAGGTATAAGGATCTAGCCTTTATTGCGATTTCATGCCAATAAGATACCCTTTCTTCGTGAAGTTGGCCGTTGTGAAAAACCTCGGCTTTACTAAGCATGAGTGCCATACACGGAATGCGTGTGTTTTGTAGTGTAATTTATGGACATCCGTGTTAAATGCATATTTTATAATACTCACTTTGTAATATGGCTGAGTTCTATACGGGGTTTGTTCTGCCAACGACCTGTACGTCGCTACAACACACGTGTGACTAAGCAAACAAACAATATTTCATAATTCATCATGATCGTTTGATAAAATAGCGCCACATCCATGAACAAATTTGTTTTCTTTCGACTGGTCCATGTATTAGGTTACCGTGGCTGCGGCCATGTTGTTAGACGAAAACGACAAACAGGTTCCCGTGCAGGAGGACAGCGAAGGCTTCTGGGTGACCAGTCAAGGAAAGTTTAAGATCAATCTCGAAGAACTGCCACCTCATCTTTCGCTTGTGTACCACCTTCTTCTAGAGATGACACGCCAGTCAAACACCGATGTGCTCTATCATTTACTGCACTGCCTGAAATTGTTATGCCTGCATGCCGAAGTACTCAATAAGGCTGCCCACGACCATCGGGGTTTCCTATTATGGTGTCAAGAAAATCTCTTAGTTGTCAAGTAAGTGTCCAGTAACGTCACATGGTACCCAGTCGCGGCTTTCCTCGGGCCATACTTTAGACGGGAAGATGCGACGAGATGGGCATTTTGAGTCGTATACTTAGTAGCAATCCGTGTTCTAGTAGATACTAAACTTTCTTACCGTTATATCGGTGTTACAGTTTATGGAAGCTGCTACAGGCGGAATGCTCACAGATCGCACGCTTATGCGTTCCTCTGCTATTACATTGTGTCACCCTGCCATCGGGGATAGATCAGTTTTGGCGCTGTGTTGAAAAGGACTTTCATTCGGAATCCTGGTTAGATAGGTTCTCTGCTGGTAAGTAACCCCACTTGTAGCCACTCTAATCATCATAGCTTACATCGTACCACTTTTTCCATTTGCCACTAACTCACTAACTCTTTTTGTTCACTTATCCAGATCGATTTTTTCTATAATTAAATGTACCTTTCCAAGTGCATAAAGTTCGACGGCAATATAGTGATTAAGTATGTAAACTTGTAAAAAAAATACATTGAGATTTGTCAGTGACAATTCCACGACGTAAATGACTTTTCCACGACCTCCGTTCGTTCTAATTTCTTATCTGTATTTGTATGTACCTCATGTTTCTATTCGAAGTTTTTTAGCCACTACTGGCAAGTGCTGGCAGAGATGCTTTCCAGAGAACAATAGTTGAAGGGAACAATACAAGAAAGCTATGTAACTTAATTTGTTAGGCACACAAATAATAATAATCCTTTATTTTCGCTTTGCCATAAGCCGTCAAATAATAATTGTAGCTATAGATACCATTGTATAAAGAAACAGAGAATTATTATCGTACCTGTTCTGCGTCATTTCAGTGGAAAAAGTGACAATGATCGGACATTTCATGGAGCCGGCTACGGTGCGCAACAGTCCTCTATTGCAATCCTCGCTGGCAAATGCTTTTTGCTATCTGTGTCATTGCATGGATGATATCAATTCGGCCGTCGCCCAACGGGCGCTGCTTTGCCTGGACACAATAAAAACGGTAGAACTTACGAAAATATACCTATCTATCTATCTATCTATGTATGAATAATAGAAATTCGAAAACGCATATACAGGCCATGTTGGTAGATCTTAGAAACAATTCCTTATTCGTGGGGGTACTACACTCACTCCCGTACGAGTAATGATATCCCCCAAATCTCGTGGACAATTCAGAACTTAAGAAAAGTAAGCTCGAAGGAAACGTTAACCACCCTCGTAGCTCTTTTGTTTTTTCTATACATGACTACAGTATTGATGAGACGCGGCTATCCGTCTCGAAGCAAACTCAACATATGACTGTTACCATCTGTAACATAAGATATAAGTTCCTCCTGGATTGACTCTCCAATGAACCGACGGATAAATATGTTTGGTTTTGTATCGATATTCGTTATAAATAGGTTGTACCTGTCGTTTTAGGTGTCGTTAAAGTTATTTATCTGGTGCTTAGAAGCCCAGTTCGATACTGTGGTCGTAGACCGACCGATGATCCTGCAGACAATTTTCCAGTTGTCAAGCCATTTTTCGGAGCGACGATTCCTCTCTTGGGATTTCTTTTTGAACCGTTTTGACGCATTATTCATGGAAGCCCAGATACTAATGGAACGAAATGGAGAGATCGCATACACCCGAGGTAAGTATTGGCTGACTAATAAGCATACACGAAATCGTATATGCTTGAAGGCGTAGTTGAGGTGGCAGCTCAGCCCGACTTTTTTTTACTGAACGATAACAATAGAATAATGGTTGGCCGAACTAACTTTAACGGTACTGCTTAGCTGCAGACGATAACGTACATGAATTTCGCTCGCACTGATATCTAAATGACATGACCCTTTTTTCCATTAATTCTATTGTTCCTCCACATGCTGCGCAACCATCCCTATTTCGTGACAATCCCGCGGGTCTGCTATCTTCTTGGTCCTCTTATCCCAGATTTGAAGAACAGCAACAAGAACAGCGAAGTGTTTCAACGGAAGCTAACCCGAGCCCAGGAAGCTCTGTCGTTGAGTAGAACCAATAGAAGCTTAACGTCCAGCCTAGCGACCAAGTATCCCTATAAGCGGACTATGTCGGCGCCCGGTCTCCTGCGGGCATCGGATCCAAAGGGACAACATGGTAAAATAATATCACAATGTCCCTATTTCGCGGATGCACACGTAGATACAGAAACAACAATAAGCAAAGGAAGTACAACGCCAACGATCAATGCTTGCACCGCTTTTCTTTTACATTATATTTAAGAATTAAATCGAGACCATGCAGTGCACGGGCGCGTTTTTCACTAACACAAATCTTCCGTATGTTTAGCTCGCGGTTTTGATCTCTCAAATGCTGCACGACTTAGTTTCAATAAGTGAACCAGCGTTGCCAACCGTTTCAACTCAGGCGGTGTTCCGTACTACAAATATTTATTTTAATTAATTTATGGATCCCCTATAGTTGGAATATGCTTGTAACAAGTATTGTGTCGCACATGATTACCAACGAAGGGTTCACTCAGATTTCAAATAACAAACTGCTCATTTTAAAGGCAGGTACCGTTATAAGGTAGACTTCACTATCTTAGATATAGTATTTACAACACATACATAGCCCCCTGGGTCTTTTCCTATACTGTTTGCTCATCATTTTGCTTACATTATCGCTCTTAATAATGCTTCGTGGTTCTCGACCTTCAGATAAAGAGAAGATTCATAGCAGACAATGCTCGGCGCCAGTTTTGAAAAGAAAGAGCTCGCGCCTGTCAACAGGCCCAGCTGCGGGAATGGCGCTTGTAATGGCAGCTACCATCCCTACTCAACACTTTCCAAACAGCTTCTTCCAAGGTATGATATTACGCTATCGCAGCAAAGTAGGCTCCGACCGACATCGCGTATTGAGATGCCGCGAACTCAGCCAATGCAATGGAAGTTAAGGACAACGCGCAACTTTCTCTGGGGGTCATCGTATTTAGCATCCACAAATGTTAACAAATTTGGCTTAATTTCACGGATAGAATATAAATCTATTCTTATGTTTTCGTGTCTTCGGTGGGTGCAGGAGATCCCGGTCAGAAGGAGGCGGCTGAGGAGAAACATTTGCTTCAGGTGATGCAACGCACCCTGGAAAGCGATGATCTCAATGATCAGGTCGGTAGACGACAATATCCCCCTAGTGCTCATTAAAAATACCGTTTTTAAACTTTAATTCTCGACTAAGAGCAATAGAGTCTCGTACAATGCACTCACGCTGTATAAGTTGATTTGGACAGTAAAACAGATCTTGTGTAAATAACGTTGCCATACTTATGACATCATGAATAGCGAGAGAAGACCGCATGTTTAGAAAGGCTCTGTTAATTATAGGCTCCCTAACATTATTGAGTACGTATCGAGTGTTGAATTAGGTTCGATTCCTTCTACTGCATGCTGCTGATGCGTATGCGGTTTCATCCAGCAGATGCTTTCCTGCATCATATTATTTGCACTGGCTTCTTTTCAGGATACCCTTCATATGCTGGTATTTGTATTCCTAGAGTTTCTGTCCCGCCCAGACCCCTCACACCCAACGGAGGAGAAAAGTATGGCGCGCTCACATTCGATAGTTCTGGCCCACCTGAACATCCTCATGGGTTACAGCTTTCAGGAGCGTCATTTTATCATAGGACCACAAAGGCTCAGGGTTTCCCCCGTATTTAATGCATTCCTTTCACAGCTGGCCAAAGTGCTAGACCTGAATCATAAGATGGCCGGCGTTCTTATGCCAACCGTAATGCCCGTTTTACTCTATTGTCCAGCGCCGCAGAGGTCGTCTTTTAACACGGGCGCACATCCGCGTCATTCTCTCTGGCCGCTAGATTTTACTCAGAGACGCGCTTGGCTCACAACTGTACTCGTTATACTATACAAGGTAAGCGAGGGAACCGGTAGAAATTAGAAGACAGGGATGTAAATATAAGACGCATAATCTGTTTGCTCTAGTTTATAGTTAAATGATAAGGATTCAAGTTACTCGCCAAATAATATCTCAGTAGATAATCTCAATTACGGGCCTCTGTCTTTAAATGAGATAAGCACCAAAAACGCTAGCCTTATTTTTGTCTAATTCCTTTTTTCAAAAGATTAAATTATGTGTGTGGTCTCGTGAATTTTGTTATTTTAGTTGAAAGTATTTGCCGCTTATAAAAAAAAAAACTTCCTAAAACATGCGAATAGATCAACAGTTTTATGACGCTCTGTATGTCACTTGCTTTATATATTGAATTTCGGCTTGCGTGGTGTACGGAACGTCAGTTTCTTTTTCTTTTTTTTTTTTTAATAAACGGGCAGTGTAACGTAACTAAAATAGCAATTTTCACGTAGATCTACCTAAATGTATATGCGAATTGGCTTTTCACTATTTCAGTTCGACTACACAACGCAACCGTTGTCTCGTCAAGTGAAACATGTGATACACATTATTCTTAATACACTTCAGGCTCACAACCATCTCTGTAAAAACATTACAGACCCGTCTGTGTTCGAACCTGTCTCTTCGAGATCTAAAGGTATGTACATTCATGCAAAAACCACTTTGCCCACGCCATGATAAGCTCCAACGGTGAAGTACGATGGGAACCACTTAGTAACGAAAGAATCGTTCATGTTCCCATACACTGCTTACCTAGCTCTGCCTTAGATGCTGTAACTAGATTTACTGGGTTTATTACTTGCTTTTCTCTCTCTCTTGTGTTCCATACGGCTCGGCAGACATAATGACGAATGAACTCAACGCAGCGCCGTCAGGGGGCGATTTAAGCGGCGTTTTACAGAGCGAAGACGCTAACGGAGGACCAACAACCCAAAACGGGCAGGATCGCGAATCTGCGGGAACGCCCTCCGATCGACCTGATCGTATGTTAACGATATTCGGTTCAGCCGGAATAGTCGGTGGTGCTAGCCTTACAGCAGGATCATCTGACAGCCAAGCATCAACAACCGCCGCCTACGCCCATAAGCCACTCGCTAGACTAGACGCTCACGACCCTTCCAAACCTCACCCGCTACGCCTGGCCGGATCCCCCCTACTGATCACTAAAAGCGAACGGGATATAGACGAGCAGGTCGAGTTGGTCGAACAGGAACTCGAGGCTATACCTGAGTCACCGAACGGGCAGTCCAATGAGGGGTCAAATGAGGTAACGGACCTTGAGCTGCCGTTACCCGCTTCAGATCTGCTTGAACAGGCGGTCCTACGGGTCGTTAAGGACGCACCGCCTGGTAGTCTACAACTAACAATTACTGAGCCGGCCTCGCACGTCCATGAGAATGCCAACGTAAACGTCGCCAATGTCAAAGAGCTTCGGCTAAAGGAAACGGAAGATACGTCACTACAGTCCACAAGCACTGTGGGAATTAGTTGCCTTAGTATTACGGTCGATAGCACACGCCGATTAACAGCGACCGTTGAATCGAGGGATCAGCGAGGTGAGAGGGAGGGCCGAGATACGATAGCAGAAAAAAGTTTCTCGGAACCAATGGAAAAGGTATGTATACATCCTTTTCATACATTTCAATTGCGCTTGAGGAATGACTCGCGAGTTACGAATCTACCCAATGTGTCGTTGTTAACTAGAAATGAATTTAACTAGCTCCATTAGCACGGTCTAAAAAGTCGAAGTCCCCCGAGCCCATTTGACATGTTTACCCGTATAATGTATGTATGACATTATTGTCTGGGTAATGGAGGCGTTTGTTGATCGTTTATATTTGGTTATTGTTTGATTGATGGTTTTATAAAGCATTAAACGCTATAAAAAGGATCTTCTTTTTTATAAGGCTGTTGACGAGAGTGTGGAGTCTAGATTTCTTATTTGTTTTTCACCGAGATCAAAGAGCTGCCAAAAACCTCAGAGATATGGGAAATCTGTTGAGAACTAACATTAGAAGATAATTCGCTATGTTTAAAAATATAAAATGATCTCTGCTATTGATATCTCTTCGCTGTGTGTAAACTCTGCTAGAGATTTTTGTAATCGCTTAAAATAGTGATAACAGTAAACAAAAACGGGCATCACTTTGCATACAACCTACTGATATATTAGGTAGCTAGTCCTCACTCTCACGTTTGCTTCTGCCCTGTGCTTCAAACAGGTATTAGATGAACGAGATACAGCAAACCTTCTAAGCGGTCTAAGTTCCGCTGCAGTCACTATAGCCAGTCACCTGGCTGGTTCCGGCGTCGTCGCGGGTAAGAAACCTGTAACGGGAACCAGCCTAGAAATCGGCAGTAGCGACGAGAAATCTCTGCAGCAGATGCAAACCGATACGCAACAGCACAGCGTATCGCGGCTATCGCCGCCACAAGCGCGACAACAAATGCAAGAAGCCTTGCCGAAAACTTCTACTAATAGTAGTACTAGCTTCGTTACTTCACAGCCACTTGAAGCCCCGAAAGAACAGAGGGAGTTGAGGGACCGGGAGCCGTTTTGTGCCAAACGTTCGTTGGATGCTTTCCAAGCAGGCCATGGGACCGCTCTAGCCGAGAGCCTAAGTTTAGCTCATGGGCCAGCAGGGACAGCTACAGCAGCCGCGGCCATCGCAGTTGTAGCAAGGGTTAGTTCTGTCGCTGGCGCAGGCCCTGGTTATGGACCGGGTGCTGCTGGCGCTACGATCGCCGGAACATCAGCGATCAGCTATCGGGAAAAGGAGGTTGTATATAGGACACGGTCAGAGCAGGCCCCTGCCCCGCCGGGCAAGCCGATGCCGTCTTTGCCATGCGTAGAGCGACTTCTGCCAATAGGCGGCCCTCAACCTAGCGTAGGCAGTAAGGATAGATTCGATAGGTTTGATAGGGACACAAATAGTAGACAGGACCGAAGATTTCCCTTCGACCCTAGCATGCGGCTAACACAGATGCTCGCGTCAAGGGGGGCTGGCTCCAGTATAGAAATTCCTTCGCTAGAACGACTTCTGCCCGTCGGTCCTATGCCTACGAGGTGAGTTTACCGGCGTATTTAGTTGCAAGTGTGAAAGAGACAACTGATTACTGCTCGCAGAGTGGGGCAAAGAAGGAAGCGCTGACTGTTTGTTCCCTAATTTAATCACACTTGCCGAGTAATACATTTTTTCAGCTAGAAGTCTACTGACCCAAGCCACCGCACCGTATTAGTTGTGTAGCATATGATAGAGTTACACAATACGAAGAACATGATCAATAATTACTTTACTTTATAGATTCTTACACAATACCCACATTCATACATACCCGTAGGATGCAACGACAAGCCGATATTGCGGAATAACTGTACTGATGATGAACGGATATTTGAGTCTAGGAAGAGCAGCGGAAAAAAGATCTAATATTTTCTTAATTCTATTTATACTCTTTACGCGAGAAGACTTCTCTATGTGGGTTGTCCTTTGTTATAACTAGAAATTATTAGCAACGATATCCGTTGTATTGCTAGCGCAGTTACCGGATCTGCATTGCTAAACCTATATATGTGTACATATATACAATGAATTATTTTGTAACATCTCGTCCGGGACAGACGAGAGGGAGACTTCTCCCACGGCCGTAGCGTCCCGGGCTCGCCGGCTCGGCAGAGGCTGGGCAGCCAGGCAGCCCCGACCGGCTCGACAATAAGCCTAGGACCATCAGGATCAGCGACAGCAGCCTCTTCATCCCTCAGGAGAGATGTGGGAGAACATACGATGTTATCCGCTGTTCATGCGGCAAGCAACACACAGTCAAATAATGTGACCGCTACAACTATTGCCACAACTACAAATTCTACTGTAATGATAGATATAGCCCACTCGCTTAGCACCGTCATTTCTACAAGTTCTACCGTAACCACAACTACGTCAGCTACTCCATCCGTAAGTACGGCCGCTGACGGCTACGCAATCAAAACTATAGCTATCAACTTCGACGTAAAGGTGAGAGCGACATTTAGAATGCAATACAAACATTTAGAATTTCTTTCTCGAAAAGGGTTTGACTTAGCGAATCGAACTTATTGACTTGAGGATCCTTTGCTGGCTCTTGGCCTATTTTAGTTATACGGAATTGGGTGATCGGGCGCACGCTGGAGAAAAGGGGAAGGATATCCGAATCGATAAAAATGATGGAAGAAATTGAGGGTTTCATTGATCTGTGCCATATTATTCAGCAATACTGATCTCCTTTGGAACTTTATAAGGCAATCACACCACGATCACCACCTGCTCTATTTATCTCTAGGTACCAACGCCTGACTGATCTCCTTTGCAGGACACGTCATTCACTCGAGAGCCAGTAAGCTCGACTAGCAAGGCACAAATCGAAGACGACAAAATGATTATCGAACCACTCGAACGAAAAATGGATATAGGCGAATGTAAAGACGAAGCCGATTCTAACAAGAAGCAGGACAATCGTAAGGATGAGAAAAAGAAAGACAAGGATAAATTCGAAAAAGATGAAGAGATCTGCCAAAAATTCGAGAAGGAGAGCAGGAAAGAATATAAACGTGACGTTGATAAAAAGGACAAGAAAGGTATAATCTGATCGAGGCCTCATTAATCGATGAGACTAGTCGAGAAACTCGTTAATTACTGAACGAACCAATAGAAGATGAAAACGATAGTCCCTTGTAGACAGATCGACCTAGCATTTATTTACGATATGTGTTGTATATCAGATCGTGACTAGTTAATTTTAGTTTCGATTTGAATTGCCTTTCATAAGGAGTATGAAAATAATTTGAAGTTTTATAAATTTTATTAATAATCATAGTTGATTCGGGTTGTATGTGTCACTGTTTGCGGCTATCGGCCCATTTCGTGTAACGCAAGTCGAACATCCTTTCATATATGCCAGTATATATTCGTATATGACTGACAAACTAACTAGAGCAAGACGCATATTTTAGACGCGTATAATAACATTCCCATCCCAAAATCTACGTTCTAGAAAAATCCGTTACGTTATCACAGGACGAACAGAGGTGCGCAGTTTTGGCAATTCCTGAAGAAGATGATTATAGTAAAGGTCAGTGAAAATTTATTCTATGGCTGCAAACAGCATTGAGCTTGGCAAATAATCACACACTATTGATATTTAGGTTTCTATAATTGCTTTACGTTCTTACCGTACGTCTCTTTTCTTCTTCTAGGCGAAATTCTAGGTTTACAGCATCTAGGGCCATTCGCAGATGCGATTCCACTTGATCTATGAACGCCTTTACCTAAGTGTTTTCTGCACAATTTCAGATAAATGTATCATATACTTTATGGGAAAACTAACTCCACGGTTTCACCTAAATAACACAGGGGCTCATATCGAAGAAAGCAGATCGAAACTACACTACAAACAACGAAAGCAGCGCAGGGCAGCTGAGGATGCTCAACGAAAATACGATGCGAAATCGGCGGCACAGCTGAGACGCTCGCGCAAGATTAACGAGGTCAACTTTCAATCGCAGCTAAATGCTTCAGGAACCTCGAAAAGGTACGTTTCCTTCGTGAAGAACATACGATCTTCAACTGTATTTGAATATTATTTCTAGGTCGGCTATAAATCATTTACCCATTTTTTTCTTACTCTTCCCCAATGAACTTGCCCCATAATGCATGAAACAGAGTACCTTTTACTTATATATATGTATATGTGCGTTATATATTAATAGATATTAGCATTGGAAGTGATTTTTTTAAATGTTCCATGTTTCTAAGTCGCCAATTTCTGGTACAACCTAATCTGTATGTTTCGGCACTCACTCGTGGAGTGTTTCAACTAAGGGTGCATATAGATGATGGCACACTCTACAGACATCAGTAGGTCGTACGACAGTGTGAAACGACGAGTTCCGCTTCCCAATTTACAAAAATGCGGAACCTATGGTAAAATGTAGAGTAATGCAAAGTGACTGAGATATAACATATCTCTTTACCTAGGTCAAAAGTAATGCTCATTATTTAAATCGCTTAATAATGAAGTACTTATTAGAAAAAGTGTTTTCTGGTATCAGATGGTACAGACACGATTGTCACTTTTTCATTTTTGAAACGATTATACATACCTAACCTACAACACTCTAGCACGCTTGTATAGCCAATATTTTGTAAACCAGGTCTAGGTTTTTACTCAGCTCAGAAGCAGTCAGACCAATTGGACAAGGACTCGATTGAATGTTATATAACCACGATCCGTGCGTTGAAATCGATCGTTTTCTGTCTGCAATGAAAAAAGTCATAAGAGCACAGCCCTATCTCAAGATAAAAAGAATAAATTCTTTACGCTAATTTCCTGGTCTATGTAGTGCTATGGAAAGCCATGATAACCTCAGCCTACTTAAATCCTATTGCGCCACGACAAATATACCTATGCACTAAACTCCAATATAGTGTCAAAATTACGTATCCATTTCCCTTTGTCTACCTAGAAAATTTAGGCCGTCATACACTGGCGCGCCATTGATGCTTGTGTGAATATATACATCGATATACCTCACTGCCAAGGATTATTAAAATAATCAAGTAATAAGTAACTTAAACAGATTGTTTGTCTCTTCATTTCTTCTCTATGTACGTGATTCGTACGTGCCTAATACACCACTTCATATACCCACATCTTCCTCTATCGTAGTCGATCATTTTCTACCGCGAATCACGAGGTTATGTTATCCTGTACCTCATGCACTTGACCTTTGTCGACACATTGCACTACTTTTGTGCGGTTGTTTAACATCTATGAATACACACAATATGCTCGGCGTCCCTGTTATGTGAGCTTATTGTTATTCGATTTTACCGGTTTTCATCAAACCAAACGCTTGACTTCATCCGCTTTGTGTTCGTGGCATAATTTGGTGGCGTGTGTGTGTGCGGGCACCGGGGGTGGGGAATCTGGGGCAACTGTGTCGTTGTGGATCATATACGTATAGATCTAGCTCGGTGTCCTCGTCCAGCGCGCCGCGTCCTCCAGACGATTTGGTGATGGATCGCTGTCCCGATTGTGGAGCTCTTATCGAGCATTATGCCCACGATGAGATTGGGCTATGCATTGTCGCCCTGGCGACGTACGTCCATCGCGAGCCATCTCTTGCTGCCCCTATTCTGCCCAACATCTTGAGGGCGGTCGCGAAGATCGCACAGCAGTTTTTCTACCCCTGGCAGTCCGAACGGTTAGTTGAAAAGAAGAAACTCACAATATGTCCTGCACTTCATATTTCTAGCGTCAGTCCTAGATATAAGGAAACCTGGTTATGTTACTATATGCAGTAGAGCGAACCTACACTCTAACTTCGAAACTTTGAAAAGTCACAGGACAACTGGGTAGTCTTTTGTTTTATTTCGATCCAAGTAGCAGGAGAAACAGCATAACGATGAGAAGCAAATTTTTTTAAATTAAAACTATCCTACTGTGAAATTACCTGTATCCGTATAAGATCTATATGACAAAGATCCCAAAGAATAAGGCGGTAACAAAAGTAATACTTTTGCTTTTCGTAGCAATACCCACCTGCCAGGTGGCTGTAACAGCGTTGCTGGTCAGTTCATACGCTGCATACTACATCGCCTTTCAGCTAATGGAATCTTCATCCAGATATTTCAAGGACATTTTGGTAAGAAAATGAATGTTTCTCAATGTTTTCGTTGTTTAAAGCGCCGTGATATGAACTACGTTGCCTAAACAATTAGCGCCGTCCTTTCATGTTTACGATACCGTCAGATATATTCCCCTGTCTTTGCTATAACTTATTGTGTAGATCGAGAGTTCTTCAAAGTGATGGCTTCAGCACTCGCGGACTTCAATGAACTCAACCAATTGCAACCACTAACGATCCTCTTCGAAGATTTAAACGAACGCAAGCAGCTCTGCCGTGACCAGACGCTGCATACCCTATCGAATGTAGCCACCTATTTGGAAGCGTTACTGCTACCTTCGGCCGATGGCACTCTCTTGCAACAGTGGTCCGGATTTCTTGTACAACTTGACACGCTACTTAGGCGAGTCATTCTCATCCTCGCAACCAGCCAGCCACAGGCTGCATCAGGTTCGTCTCCGTAATGATAACACTAAAACGCATCCACTTGATGAAGGTGATCGTTTCTTTATTTTGTCACGCGGCGGGGCTTAAACCGCTGGCGTTCTTCAACCAGAAATATAGCCCCCCTGACCAACGTGGAAAAATAAACAACAGCGATGAAGCGCACGTGACCACCAGCCAAGATCGTACAACACCTCAGGACTGGCATGATTTCCCCATTAGACGTATGAAATGATGGCTCCATTTGTTAATCACTTTTTACGCGCATTTCAAACACATCTACATGTATTAGCGGTATGCTGCAACAGATAATATTGAGAGATCTGATTGTAGAGGAAGTAACACGGTTAGTTCTATGTTGTCGTGAGCAAGATGATGTATAACTTTTTGGCAAGACCACAAGAAGGTCAGCTGGTGGGTAGACTTTGAATGTAAATGTTAACAACGATGTGGATATTTTAGGCGGTAACACGTCTGGATCTTCAATGACATCCCTGAGTTGTCTGCTACGAATCATGACTTCGGTATTTAAGGTGAACTTCAATGAACATTGTGAAGCACATAACCTTTTCGACCTTTCTTTAGGTAAATTAAGATCTAAATTAGGTAAATTCCATACAAACGGACTGAGGCGGCCACCGTACAAGAACATCACGTCAATTGAAATTGATTCCAGTTGGTTAGTGAGCGTATTCATATGGTTGAATGTTACTTTGGCGATTCGAGCCACTGTTTAACGTATACATTTATTTTGACAGGTTCCCGTAATTAACGCGTGTAAAACCATTTTGGAGCCGTTTTCAAAGATACTCGGCCATGCGATCGAACATTCTTTGGTCAGCTACCAACAAGTGCTCGAGCTCTGCCATCTTTGCTACAAGAACATGTCTAGGGTAAGAATGATTATTCAAACGAAGCAAAATAATACCATTCCTTTAAGGTTCAAATGCATCCTTTTACAGATATCGTGCAGATTCCATAAATCACATACAACCATTGAATAGGACCCGTTTATGCTAGCGTCTGCCTGTTATTTATGTTAGTTGAAAACAAATTAGGTCCTGAGTTCTCCAGTATCTGCTTCACTATTGGAACAGCTCTACGATATCGTGATACGACTTTAGTTCCACTTATGCGTTTAGTTATAATTAACCTAATCTAAGTTAAATAGACATGAGAATGTTCGTGTTGGCTTTTGCCTGTTCATTTAGCTAACCCAGAGCTCTAAACCGATAAGTTGAATGTACAGTTTTGCTATTTTATGGTGAAATTCGTTCACTTTAATATTAAGACCTGAATTGACTTTTGAATATACAGGAACGGGACAAATGTGTACTAAGTCGCACCGTCGTATTCGAGTTGGTGCAAGCGCTGAAATTTAAAACGTCCATTCCCGACGAAAACCTGCTCATGCTGGTGCAATTTGTACTGCAGGACGCGGGGGGGACCTTGTGCCCCAACGTCATACTTGAAGACGTTCCACTGGCACCACACGAATTGCAATCAATCCAGGTATGTGAGCTAAACTCGGCATGGCGGCTTGATATGCATCGTGTTTTTCGCATAGAATGGTTAGTTACTAATTTTAACTTAAGTTTCGGAGTAAAGGCGGGTTAATAACTAAAGAGCTCCTCTAGACACTGAGATTGTAGTGCAAGTATTTCTCGTACTTGCTGACTAGGACTTGCAACAGGAGGGGAGCATAAAGGAAGAGCCCCTCTAGCCTCTGCCGAATGGTTTCAGAATAGAATAACGGCTTAACATTCAACATGATTGTCTTACAGTATAATACCAATGCAGCGGAGTGCCTTCGGCAAAACCTGGCCGACGCAATTGAGTTTTTGGCTGACGTCCATACGCTCAGCCGTATTCGAAGCAACTTTCATGGCATAGCTTCGCGACTCAACGAGGAAACTTTGGGAGGCCAACTTAAAGCCGGTGTTGCCCAGTACCTCGCGTTGGAAATCACTAAAGGTAAGGTTGCTCGAATCTCCATTTGGGCTCGTACAACTTTATCAAAGGCCTTTTACAATTGCATTCAAAATATGTTTTTTTTTAGAGTGAACACTTGCTAGTAGCTGACCAGGGCATTTATCGTGGGCTTTGTTAGAGATACAAAATATGTATATTTAAGGAGCTTTTAATGTCAATTAAAACTATGTGTACCAGTGAAGTCGACGAGAGTTAAGGACGAATCAGTTACGTTGCTTTGCCCTTAATGCAGGTAACGGTAGGGAAAACAGAGCAATCAGCAAGTATCTCCCCTGGCTCTACAATCCCCCTTCATCGACGCAGCAGGGGTGAGTCAAATAGAATAGACAAATAATAATGCTTGCTCATATGACATCATGGCGTTGCAGACTACTACTATCAATTTATATTTCTGGAAAAAAAATAATTAGCAGTAGGCTTTGCAACGCATTTGACTCGTTGATTGTTACCTTGTCACAGTAGCTTCGTTGCCTCGGTGTGGCCTGCTCATTAATTGATTTCAATATTTCAGATTCTGTTCCGGCGAAGCTCAGTGCAATTGCCGTCGTTGTAGTGATTCGGTTGTTTAGATTTTCGGTGGGAATTTTCTACCGATTCTTTATCTATTTGTAATTAGTACGTTCTGATATACAATTGGTTCGCTCTCATATTCAAACTCATCAGACTTCAACTTCAAAATTGATAGGCCTAAATCAACTTCGTCCTTGTCCATTTAACTCTAGCTCGGTTAGCGATCAGTCCCTAAAATAAACTAACATATACAATTGTATACTATTTGATTTTAGCCCAAAAGAGTTTACCGAATGTGTTGCTCATATCCGTCTCCTTTCCTGGATTCTCGTCGGAGCTCTCACCCACTCTGCGCTACTGGGTAACATAATAAAAACAATTAGGCATTTTTCTAATAGTACTCGAACACGTTTTTTTCTCTGCCTTGTCCACAGACAGCAAATCTTATGAAAACTATTTTTTCCTATTTGCTAATGTAAAAAAAAAATTAAGCTTTGTTTGAACAAAGTACAAAACGGGTCCGGTCCACTCATTGGGTTTAATGGTAACCTGTCATATAGGTGGCCAGCACAGTCATTCCGCAATCACGTGCCAACCCATTCCGCTCGAAGCGAACGGACACATCGCCGAACATATTCAGGTGATTTTGGCCGGGTTTGCCGAACAATCTAAAGTCTCCGTCCTCCATATGTCATCACTGTTCCACGCCTTTATTCTTTGTCAGGTCAGTTGTATTTCTTAAAGCAAATAATAAACGTTTCTGTTTTTCCTAAATAGGATCATTCTAATGAAGACTCGTAACGTATACACTAATATACTCAAATTTAATGCAGTAGGCAATGTACATGTGTTCCACTAGACGGCGTAATGATCGCCTTTGCTTAGGTTGGTTGGCCTTTCTCTGCCTTTTTTCACTCGGTCAACTTTGCACTTTGTGGCTATGTCTGCTGCATGGACTTAAATAATTTATGCTTGATGGTTTTAGTTGTGGACTATGTACTGCGAGCACATGGTCTTTCTAAATCCACCGGGATCGGAGCAGAACCAAATGTGCATCCTAACGCTGACGGACTTCTGGGTGAAGGTTACCCCGGGAGTTCTTCAGCTTGTGTGCCACTCCAAGTTAGCAGACATGGTCAGCTTGCATTTCCTCAGCCTCATGGAAGCCCTTATGGAATGCAATTCCACAGTACTGGCAAGGGTAAGTGGCTGTTTCTTTAGAGATAACTAGATAAAGACACATCTTGCCGTTGCGGCGCCGTGAATCATCTGAATACATTACCGTGCACGCTGGAAAGGCTTTTCGTCCATTGCGACATTATTTGCACCCTAATTTCGATCTTCTCTCCAATGAAATGATTATGCAACAAAACCTTATGAATCATCGTACAGTCGGAACATTGTATGGTGTTATATACTGTCAATAGGGTCCTCTTTCTTTTGCTCATATTGCAGCTTCTTCCAATGTGGACCCCGGCGCTGTATTCATATCAGGGCCAGATTCCGAATCAACTCAAGGTCCGGCTGCAGGCCTGTCTCGACTGGGTTCCACCTTTACAAACTCGTGAAGAAGCCACATTTGTATCCACGACCTTCCTGAAGTGGCTACAACGCCTCCAATTTAAGATGGGCCAGATCGAGTTGCAGTCTTCTACCGCCACACAATTCTACTCACTGTAATAAACAATTGCAGGACGTCATAATAGCATCGGATGCAATGGTACCATAGCAGATAACATTGAACAAATAACGAACTCGAAAAGCAACGGCAGAAGTCGCAGGCAGCAACAAAAACTTATTAACTAGGTCTAAATAATGTTGGCCTCTATCATGGGGACCGTATCTGATGAAAATGCACTGTCTCTGAGCATGTGTGCAAATGTTTGTATGTATAATGTTTCAAAAAAAAGTAGATGGAGGACCTTGCGGTCGACGCGTAACAAACGTTCCCATTAGATATGATACCAAGTGCGTTAGGCCATGCAAAACGTCGAACGTGCTCTGCACGCATCTACCGACCGCAAAGAAACCTATCTACTATGAGGCTTGTCGCCAAAACCAATGCATGGACACGATACAACAAAAATTAATACGGTATTTAGAACTTTAATGTAATAATCGTGTGAAAGTGGTTGGTACACCGCTCAGAGTGATAAGATCGTTTATACCCTTTCAGCACGACGATTTCAGGCGATATATAAGTCTGAGATACAATAGTCTAGTAAAACAAAAGAAGGACAAACGGTACCTTATAAGCGATTCTGCGAACTACACAATTATACGACAAATATATACCTAATATAAAGAAAATATACCTGATTGTTATTGCCTTGATTAGTGTGAGCGGTAGATGCACGCTTGTCCTAGAAGGGCCTTCAATTGTCGCGATCTATCTATAATTATTAAGCGATTACCCATGAGGCTGTTGCAGCGTCTACGCGATCCGTATCATCACTTGGAGTGTACAAAATTTTTTAACAGGCATCTTCACCGTAATAAAGATAATTCTGATAAGGCAAACAAGAATTTAATAAGCAGACATTTATACACGATCCCTTTCAAGTGTGACTGTGGACGGCACTTAAAGGGTATTCAAGCTGAGAAAATCAGCATTCTGGCTTGCCCCTTTGCTAGATATGATAATACTACAGCTTTAGTTCTTTTTTTTTTTTTTTTGCTTCAACTAGGTTAGTGATGAAATATTTAAATTGAGTAAATATATTCGAGGCTTATCTTCAAAACAGTTAGGACGCATTGTTCTATATGCATTTATATTCATAGTACCTTGCCAGTCTTACCACGATTACGTAGATATACAAAATTCATTTAATACCCACGATCGTGCTATTTTTGTCATCCTGCTTTTCGTACAAAGCTTTCGTGACATTCAAAAATAGTTCAATCTTAATAAATATGTCCTTTTATAGAAATTTGAAAAAAAATTTGTAAAAATACGTTTATATACGTCGAACGGTTTTGTTCTTTGTTCTGTCAACTAACAGTTGTTTAATCTGATTCGTTTATACGCTATTCTTATAATGTTTGTCTATTATAATTCTTTTCACTTCTTCAATAGTATGGTGTGGTTTCGCCTACTAATTCGTTATCGTTTGTTTATCGCGCCATTATCTATCTATGTCTATAGTCAATGCCTTATCGCGTCTGTCAGCTCCGGTGTAGTATTTGTGCCTATACTATGGTGCGATAACTTTACTAAGAACATCAATATATATATATATATATTTTTTTTTAACTTTACTTCACTTGTATAGTTCCTATACAACACGATACGATGTCTCTCCGCGTGTTTTGCTTTTATAGGACATGCTATTCTATTGCTTCCTCTATTCCATAGGACTAACGTCATATGAAATTATGCAGAAAGCTAGTCACGTCTATTGTTGCCTGTTATTTGTTAAATAACAGTAATAACAGGCGAATCTCCATCCATGATATAATAGAAAGCGAATAGTTTCTGTAATGATCATTCAACTATCATTATAAAGTTGTCGTATATGCTAGAGTTTGTTGTTATGAAGCGTTTCAATAAATGCCGTGACGCGCACGTCGCAATAGTGACTGTTCGTCATATAGTCGAAGGCGTTGTCTGTACGAAAGAGTTTACGTCCTAAATACGCTACGGCTCTTACGGAAGTAACTTACTGAACTTTCGATATAACATGTGTATGCCCAATGGCCTTTTCCCTGACAACAAAAAAAAATTAGTGGCTGTCGATAAAGACTTCGTACGACTACTGTGCTGTTCTTAAGGGCAAATTTTGTGTGTTTTATCTATTGTTTCTAACAAGTTTATCGAGTGAATTGTGTGGATTCAATTATTAAGCCCTTTTCGTGTAAAGGTCGCGTGACGACTGTGGAATTGATACTGTTTCGAAATAAGGTATTATCCTCAATCCTTTCTACTATAATTTCTAGATACTATAGAATTTTTTTGAAGGTTTTGAGAAGGATGTACCGTCTGTTTGTATGCCAAGCTATCTTTCACATCTTAGCACCTGGCTTAACTTCAGGTTTCTCTATAGTTTTTCCTTATTCTTTTGCAGAACAACGTGTCCAATTTTGTCAAATGCGAATTCGTTTGTAGGAGCACACCGACCTCTATTTTCGGTTGACAGCGATCTCAGCAGGCCTTATTAACCTACAAGCGTCGTCTTTAACCGGCCGACTTAATTTGTCCTTTATCTAACTGATGGGGTGGGTGATAGCATTACATGCTGGATAGATGTTCGATAAAGGTTTATTCGACGAAGATTCCTGGGCAAGTCGGCGATAGACTTTTCTGGACCTTTATATTGTAGCGGTTCATTAGCCCCGGCTGATGCCTGGTCTTCATCTAGTTCAAGTGTCATGGACAAATGAGGGTAGGACTCATTTATAGCGACATAGTTTTCAGGGTACTTAATATTATCGTATTTCAAAAAAAATGTGTGTATAACGCGCGTCAGCAGCGGGTGGGTTCCACGGCGTGCGAAAAATTACCCCACATACCACACTTAATGCGATTTGAAACTCTATGTAAATCAAAACGACTGTTTTATTTACGTTTATCGACAATTTTAATTCTGCAGATTATCTGCTCATTAAAATGGCCCATATTCACAATGATTTTGGTTAATTTTTTTTCTTTCTTACTAGCAAGTGTTGGCCACATGCTCAACATGGGACCTTCACTAAAACCCGACATAAGAGACACATCTTCGACAGATGTAATTCTCAGTTGATCAGGATCATTTTCGATCGCGTTCATTACTGTAACCGAGTTGGTCAATACAACATTCTTCGCGCGCAAACCACTTTGATCAAATGCTGCTCGCCCCTTCCGCTGTCTATCAATCTTTGACTCGGAGCAACGATAGTGGGTATCGTTTGCTCGCATGATGTTCCCGAGATGAAGTTTCGACGTGAAATCATCGTATTTCATAGCCACATTTTCTTAGAAGGACTTGTAACCTGTTTATGACCAAGTATTACGTCAGTACCACCGGAATCAATAGTAGGAATATAGCAGGAAAAAAGGGTATGGGTCCAAATACAATTAATGTGGCATCTAATCTTTATCACACATGTGTACATAAAAGCAAGTGCGATTTGACGGAAAAAACGTTACGCTGATGACCGTCATTTTTTGGGTAATAGTATTACTGGTTTGGTCGCCTTGCACCGATTCCACCGTAATGTTCGCTGCGGACATTCAATTATTGAATTGACCCCTTATGATTCCTATATAGAAACTATTTTGAACACCGCTGCAGGCGGAGTAACCTCAACCCCCTAGTACAGCGTGTTACTAGTATTAATACTGTGTAACTATAGACGTAATTATTTGTTCATGTATTTGAGAAGAGAAGAAAAAATATAACCGCACTGCAAACTTGTATCGTAGAATGTAATGTAGATAGTAAAGCTGAGGAGCCCTTATTATCACATCATACTTCGACAATGACACAGCAACGACATCAATGAAAAAAAAATGCACGTTGAGAACTTTTAGGTAAGCAAATTCAAGCACAGTCTGTAAATTCAGGGAAATTTTGCGGTTGTCAAACGTAGATGTCCCTCCGTTGTGTACGTAAGTTTCCTCTCCAGATATCGTCCAAATATGTTAATTTCGCAGTTAAAATCAAAAATGCTTTAGGTTCGAACTGTTAACATTTATAAAAATGTGTCAGCCTTCGAAATCATAAATAATGACATTTTATACAATAATATTTCATAAACTGAAAACCTTATATATACATATATAAAAGATACAATAATTTAGCATGGGATAGATAACTAGAAGACGTTAGATAACAAGTAGAGTCACATCACAAGTAGAGCGACACCAACAAAGGAATATATACATCTATGGAATGACTAACAGATTATAAATACTCTTTTTTTTTAACTAGTTCAAATTCAACAGTAAATCATTGCTAAAGGACTGATTCTGTCTAAGATGTCAGCAGACGTTTACAAAAACGCTTTACTTGTTCGAATTTTTCGAAGTTGTGCGTTCCTTCACAGCCAACGCATTCAAACTAAGCAGTACTGACACAAAAATCGGCCACAACTCTAACAAACAAAACGTATATGCCAGAGAGAGGGCAGTTGTCCGAGTTAATTTTCACCTTTTACCGTTAAATTGGCTATACATCGAGTGTCCCTGTAAACTAATCGGTCGAATTAAGCGGGGAGTATTTCACTTCGTGTTTTACCGGAAAGCTATTTTGGAAGACTGAAGTTTCTGATTAGATTAACCTAATTCCAAATAGGTCCTAAAAGCACTTTTTCTTCTCAGAATTTAAGTTGGCCGCTTATTCAGCTTGTGCAACTATCACGACGCATCGTAATATTTGGAAAATTATGAAGAATCTTCATTTAAAAGGCTGCCAGCATCTCTCATTATTGTTGAGACTACTTACTCTGTTCGTATGCTCAGCTGTCAGGAAAGTCCCTTAATTCGACTGCTGTTTGTCGTGATTAGCCGAAAACTTTCATCTTTAAAAGTTGCTATACCAACTTTTCGTTGATTGCTTTCAAACAATCCAGATTTTATCGGCTACTGTAAAATACAATTCGTTCAATTCATGCAAGCTGGCTAATACCGGAGACACTACTAATAGTACCAACGAATACCAGCAATAGTACCCAATGAATTGAGAAGGATATGATTAAAACGTATCGTTCGATACGTTCTACTGGAACATTCTCTGATCTGAATATTTCATGGTCGACTGATGGCGCGAAAAGGTTTTATCTGCGCGGCACAGCAACCCGTATGTAAACCCCATGAAATGTCTGTGGTGATTATGATTTTGTTTCTGGAAATAGGTTTCGCTGAGCTGGGTGTTCTCGTACCACAATAAAAATACTCGTTAATATTACGAGTTACATGTTGCAAAATATAAATGAATTTCTAATCGCATTGGCAAATCGGTGAGTATCAAAATTTGTTTTAGTTAGCGAACTTGTGTGTACCGTGCGGGGAGATTTTTTAAGGGAATTTTATTTAAGAGAATAAGATTTAAGGGAAGCTGCTTTAGCAAGTACCCGATAATTACCGTTTTGCTACGGCTCAAACTTTTGCCAAGTTGAATTTGTTTTTTGGTGGTCACTTCTCCGTGTTGGTAAGGGAAAGATGAGTCCAATCTCAAAATGTACAATTTGTAGAGCGTTCAAAATCAACAGACAGTTGAATGTTAAGTTTACATGATATAATATGCTGAAGTAAAGGTTTTTTTGAAATGCTACCATTGTTGCGTTTACACAAAGGTTTTGCGCAAAAAGGCTAATAGGATTTATACTAATCCTCCAAGATATTTTAAAATATACATGTATTGTTGTTATTACTATACGATTTAGAAGATAGTTAACTTTGATCGATCGTATTAGGACAGATTTTTCACTTGTACAAAATGCATCAGATTAAGCGGGTCGTCAAACAATCGGCTCGCTTGTTGCAGTCGCCTTATTTTTAATGTCGGTATCAAGCATGCGTTAGTACTGTCCCTAACCAAGCGGTTTAATTCACGAACTCGAGTTTTTTACTCACGAATTCTACGAAGATAGAAAATATTCTATCAAAAAGATGTCACATTAGCGCCTTTCCTAACCGAAGCTTACTCCCGCATTTCGCTGGACGTGTTGGCCGTCGAGTTGCCTTAAATGCATTAGAAATCCTTACCTAGGAGCGGAATGTTTGTTAGTGACGACCTTTCGAACGAATTAAATAAATAATAGGAGTTTCTGCTACATTGAAACGATATTGTTTTTTTTTTTGGCCACAATTTTATTACAAAAGTGACTGTCCATATCAGCCAATGCGCCCTTCAATGATTTCCCATTTAAATGCTGTAGCCAGTTTTGTTGTTTCTATTCAGTCGATCTTTGATTGTTCTGTTTTACCACACTAGAGGCCATCAGGGCGAACAGGTTCTGCGAAGAACTCACTAGACCTTTAGGAATGATTATGCCTTATTTTTATAGCGCTAAAACCGAGGCCATACAGCCTGCCAAACCATTTCTATATTAAGTAGAAAACGACAGCCATATGGGCTAAACAGGTATGCATCTGTTTTACGTATTTTTCCCAAATTTATAATGAAATATCAACTTGGAGTAAAGTACTGATTTTTCAAATAGTCAAGCTTTGTTGCTCGTTTGCAAAAAAAAGAATCATCCATATTGTACGAAACTCTGCACCTGTAATAGGTAAAAATCATTTAACTTTCCCAATTTTAAACAACTCTGTAAACAATAACTCTATAATAAACAAACTCTATAATAGAAAATGCGATACGCTTGATAGCTAAATAACTTTTTTACTTGATTATTCAGATTATTTTCACCAGGTGGTGCTCGTTTGCAGACGAACTCGGAAATTTATTTTCGTGAGCAAGATCGCAACAGGAGTCGGTATTTAGTATAATAATTCGTCTACACGCTTTTCACTACGAAACACACGTTGAATGGATCGGGGTAGAAAAATCGCGCTAAATCTTCGTTTGACTGTTTACGTGAAATTGAAGTATAATATTCAACCCCTTGTGGCAAGCGTGCATTATCTTACTAGTACCGCGAAGGTCAACACTTAATTCTGAGCCACTAGCAATTAGCATATCCACTGATTTTCCGTGGAATGACGCTTGTATACGCGTTGCTACACAACATTAATATTTCCTACTATTATATTGCACTAATAGATTTATCTGCAACTTCCTCCAGCATAACTACGAAGAACTTCGGTATCTCACCAGCCAACGAAAATAGCTTTACTAGAACAACGTCGTTGGTTTAAATTCAATTAACTGATGTCAACTGACAGCACTTGCTATTGAAAAAAATGTCCAA